ACCAAAACCAAAAAGAGAATACCCCAAGCTGGGCAAAAGAATTGTTTGGTGATGACTCAACAAAAACGTTGAATTTTGTCAAAGACATAAAAACATAGTTTTCTAGATCAAAATCTTTTAATAGATTATAAATACAAGTATTTGGCAGCCTTTTGAATAGGCCAATGAAAGCAGAAGCTACATGTAGCTGTCAGCTGACAATAGCTACATGTACACAGCTAGAAGTCGTGACAAACAATGTTATTGTACATGACGTCGCTCCAGCACAACTTACGCTGTAGGAAAATCCTTGTCCAATGACAGGTACGTCAATTTTATTTTAAAAACTAAACCAAAATGGATCTAAAAAGATGAATGTTTTGACATAACATCAGATCTAGAAAAAACAATCTGGAAGTTCACTAAAACAGAAACTTAGGTAAATTACATATACTTTTTGAAGTTCCAAAGTCACCTACATAGAAATATGAAGTATGGTCAAGGTTACCAGAGATTTTGAGAATTGATAACAATATAGCTTAAGATTTCTAAATGGAAAGCAGCTTTAATATTTCTCAAAACTGTGATTTAAAGCAATCGGATGTCTTGTCCATCCTTTAAAAACAGGAGATTCATTTAACTTAAACATGCAACAGAAAAGCAAAGTCAAGCATAGATCATTTTCTGTGTCACATATTGTTACAGGAGAAAGAGGATTGTTCCCAGAGTCTCGTTCTCAATCTAAACTCTAATTTTTAAATCTAAACCTTAACCATTTAGTTGGTATGAAAATTTCAAAATGGAAGACTTGGTAACTCTAAGAAACATGAGATGGCCAAACGATTACCGATGGTGAAAGTCCATGCTAAGGATGCTTATATGAACATAAGCATGCATACATTCGAGGCACAGGAAATATCTCCGTTGAATGATATAACAGCATTTGAGATCATTACTATGGACCTTGCTTCCCTCAAACTCGTGAAAATACCATAAGCGCTATTGTGGAATATTTTATTTGGTTTTGAATCTTTATTGATTATCTGATGTCATTAACCTCACGCCTATCTGCTACTCATGAACATGATTTCAAGTTAGTGAAATATTTGTTTCAAACTGAAGTTTCTGATAAATGGGGAAAAGACTATTGTTGAATTTTTCCCATCATAAAATGGAGCTTTGTAGTTTTGTGATCAATACAATTGAGATAAACTTGAAGGCCTTAATAGAAATGATAGTTTCTATCCAAATTCTCGCAAAGACTTTGTTGAGATAGAATCAACCCTAGTCAGTAATCTTACTCAAGTTATTGAGATACTTTTGAATTGTACTTTAGTCTGTAATCTGCATATTGTACCTCTACATTTATTGACACTTGCAAAGGTCAAAGCAGTCCTACATGTATGCATTGATTGCCAAAATAACTCACAAAAAATGAATATAAAATTTGATAGTGATTGGTCCAAGAAGTCGAAATTCAGAATACTAATAGTATTATCCAAATCAATAATTACAATAACAACAAAAAGCAGCCTGTTTGGCTAAAGTTCAAGTCTGATGAGACAGTAGCTTAGGGGAAATAGATTAAACAAAAAAAAAAAAATTGTTTCATATGAATGAAAGCCATGGATATGGTAGTGAAAGTATTCACAAAAACTTAGACAATGTTATATAAAATTAACAAGAAAACCACGATGACATTATGTGAACAAAATGTGGGGAACAAGATGGCTAGAAATGTTAAAAGCAATGCAAGATCGTTCAGATACCTTTGCCAGAGATATCATTATTACCGTATAATATCTTCCAAGGAATCAGAATTGAATGTCAGATCAAACCTAGAGAAATTTCTCGTTGCATCAAACTAGAAATAAGATTGGGAGATTTTTCCAAATTGAAAGTTTTAAGGTCCAAATAAAAAGATTTTGTCGACCAGTAGAAAATTAATATTTCAGGTGGAAACTAAACCCAGAAACTCTGGAAGTTGACATATTTATTCAGAATAAACAGTCAAATAACTTTCCTCCAATTTCTTAAACATCTGTTCAATCAGCCGATTACTGGTTAAAGTAAGACAGAAAAAATGCACAGATAGCTCTCATAGCCCCAATGTGGCAAATGGCTCTGCGGTATCTATAATTGTTGGAAATGTTGGTCTGAATGCCCATCTTATTGCCAAACCATATGAAATTACTAATATCTAATCTTACAGCTTTAATAAAAAAAAAAAACTAGATAACACTAACGGTGTCCAAATGATTATCCTCAAGTTTGAAACTAGAGGTTTCTGCGACAAACTAGCAATACATGTATGTTCATTAAATCAAGTAAAGAAAGTACTTAAATTACTTCCAAGGACCCCTGGAAAACATGGGTATGCTGCAAGTTCTAATAAACATGACATTAATATTTAGCCTCTGATACAAATTTAGCCAATTTCCTAACTGAAATGTCAAATCAGGTATGTGCTATTCGTTTCTCGATACTTAAAGTCTGCAAAATCAGCATATAATCGAACCATAGATAGTCATAGATCTTATGGAAACTTTTACAATGGAAACCCACTAAATAAAATAAATTAAACTTGGGATGTGAATAAGGTTGTACTGTATCTCACATTGAACATTCGGGTCAGAATAGAAATCTCAACTGAAAGTACACAATTAGTCATGTTAATGTCTATTTCAAGCATGTATCCCAGGGTCTCTGAAATAATATGCCATTGGATGGTTGTCAAAGACAGAATGTCAACTCATAAAATTGGGGTTCCAAGTTTTCTTTCATGAGAATCCAGTTAATGATGTTGTACTAGCATTTAGAAAATACCAGAAACATCTGAAACAAACTACTAGTAGTAGAAGGGAATCATAAGAAGGAAGTTTAAATTATCCTTGTCAAATGTCATGCGATGCCATGCGTGTACATATCCAGTAAAACATCTCATATACATACATACTAGCAGTTTCTATAACAATACATAAAGGTTTTAATTTTATAGAATAAAATAAATAGATATTTAATAAATACATTTAAGTACATTTGAAAGACATATTTAACCAGGTATGCAGTAACAGTACCATAAACTTGAACATTTGATATATCTACAAACCAAGTCATGGGAAATGCAAATTAATTGAATGCTTAACAATTTTACAAACTGAAAAACTGATAAAGGAAATTGAAAGGATTTAGATCAGTTGTTCTGAGGTTATTTTACTTTAAACATGCGATATGAACTCTTAATAAGATGAGTGTAATAGAAATTTTACAATTTCTTAAGAATCTCGCTAATGAAATTATAATTTTATTAACGAGATCTTATTAAGAGTTCATATATTCCCTCCTCGCCCACCCAGTCGTTAATTGTCACTAAAACACAGTTTTGTGTTATTTCAGAACATAACCACAGACAACTGAGTTATGAAGGATAGAATTAACATTCAACAATCTTCATCAAGTCAAATAATGTATTTGCATTTTTACACTCTCAAAGTTGTAATGAAAGATTTTAAAGTTTAAATCTCACAAACAGTAATAGGTTTATATCCTATACTACACAAGGACTTTATTTTAACTTTGCATCCCACAAAGATTTAGGGATAAATTGGGCATCTCACAAGCAGTGGATGTAGTTGTTTTCTTTGTCAAAGAATTCACTGAAGTTTACTCATAGTAAGGTGAGTTTTCAATGGCTTCAGAATATTAAGTTGGCATCTAAGCAATAGACCTAGTTATCGGTGCATATACATGTCCACTCAGCTGCACTACTCAGTTTTAATTTATTCAAATTAATACTACTAACAGCTGGAATCCGATAATAAGGGTTATTATGCGATATGAACTCTTAATAAGATCTCGTTAATAAAATTATAATTTCATTAGCGAGATTCTTAAGAAATTGTAAAATTATTTCAACATCTCCCAGCCCTAATTGATACTCCCACAGACAAATAAGAAAGGGGAAATGTCATTCATGTTAATAACAAATATTTATAGTAATTTCCTCATGTTATTATGACCATAGTTTGGCATCTGTAATATAACACCTTTGTAATCATTTCATGCCTGGTGATTGGAGAAAATGAACAGAGGGGGGAGTAGCTAATTTTTGCTAGAAAATTCAACAAATCTTGAAGATTCAATTTTTCAAGAAAGAGTATGTAGTTATATAGGAGATTAATAAAGCTAGAAATGTAGATATTAGAGAAACACATGGCAGCCATCTTGAAAAATGGTTGGTTTTACACGCTAGTTTACGATTTTTGCTATAACTTGAAAAGCAGTGGCTAGCAGGTGCAGCCATTTTGAAGAATGGCCGCCATTTACATGTGCATATGTGCGATTTTGTTGAAATTTTATATGTGACTACTAAGAAGCATATTAAACTTTCATATGACAATTTGGCTAGTGAGTGACCATTTTGAAAATGGTGGCCATTTATATGTTTGTTATTTTATGATTTTTGCTACAACTTAAAAAGTAGTAGAAGGATTTTGTTAAAATGGCACCCATGGCTGTTCATTAGGATTTGCTATGCTTTGGTGTTTGTTATCTGTTTCTATAAATCTCATGCTTCCAAGGTAAACCAAAGTAATATGAAATGTCAAAGCATGAGCACAATAGGAAAATGCAATAATTTAAAAATGATTTATTGAGCCAACTGAACCACCTCAAGATTGGGAAAAGAAAGCTACCCACTGAACAAAGTTTGTGCGGGGATTTAAAACTTGGGGGGTTATATCCATATATTGGCTATATGGGGATGTGTCGCTTTAGTGGGTCACTTTTTCCCAGAAAAATCCCTAGATGTAAGTAGGTACCATTTTGAAAAAAAAACTAGATATGGGTCCAATTTTGAAGAAAAAATCCCCAGAACTGCGTCTACTTTTTGAAAATCCTAAAACTCGGTATTGTTCTTGAAAAAAAATTGCCGGATATAAAGATATGTCCTTCTGTCCATTTTTAAGTTCATATCATGGATTAAATCTGCATATCAAATACTGTATACTTTATATTTCCAGAACTGTACATATCATGACAAATTAGCTGTAGCAACATGTTTCTCCCTGGAGTGCGCCAGTTTCAATGGCTATCGACCAATCAGATACTGTGCACAGTGTCATGCAGCTCGGCATGATGATCCAAAAAATAGTCGTCATATTGTACAGACAAATATTCCTGACCTATGGAGCTGTGACAATGAGACACGCAGCTACATTGTTGAAGCTATTGTCAGGTAAATTATTACTATGTATCTTTATAATATGTTGTACTTTCTTTTACATCATTAAGTATTATACAAGAAATTGTCTATTTATAACCAGAAAGCTCAACCCATGATTGCCACCTGATAATTAACTTCCTGTATAGTTGGAATTTCAGTGGACTTACTGTTTCTGAGTTCTTATGTTGTTAGATTCATACTTCTGTTTCTGTACATGTGATGTCTTGATGACTAATGAACAATTTAAATGGCTCATTGTGGCAGTCTATTTTAGAGGATAAATATAGAGTAATTTTGGTGAATTGTAGGCAATCGAGTGTTGTTGTGAAACTTTCCTGAAATATTAGCAATTTCTGGAGTTACAATTGACCTCTTACCAAGTTGACTAAAAGAAGACAGTGTAATGATACACACATGCCTTAATAATCTGTACCTAAAAAATAACACGGCAGGTATAGCAATCTTTTCAAAAAGCCTCATCTTCATATCTAATGACTGATGAGTCAAACTCTTAAATGGCTTATTGTACAAGAATATAATTAGAGGGTTATTATATTACAGTTATTTTTATAACAGAAATATAATATCATTTAATCATTATTATTAAGTATTATTCTAACTGACATGTTTTTTTGGTTCTTGTTTTTTTTTAGATATTTGAACATAAAAGATGTGTAAAAGCCCAAAAGTTCTTCCAAAGTATTAATTTAATCAAAATACTTAATTTGTCTATTAATGTGGCTAAATTTACATATACCATATAATAATATATATACCGTATATAATACTGTATAACCGACTTTATAAAGATCAGTGTGCAAGACACTATTATCATTGAAAAAGAATGGAATTATAACAGCCTTTTTGAAACTAGACAAATCAAAATACTGGAACAATTCCAGAGGTCATTGGAAATAAATGCACATGCAACTTTCCTTTATAGTACAGGCTAGGTACATTCCAGTGAGGCCTCTTTCTATGACATACCCCCGCACCCGGTATAACAAGACGTATGTGGTACCATTTTGTTCGGTATGATGTGAAGTTTTCAGAAACCAATTTTGACATTTTCAAATATGGGTCGGATTCCAGATAATTAGCGTAATGTTACATAATTTATTCTTTTCTATGTTTTTATATTTTCAAGGTTTAAAACAGCTATGGTTAGGTATTTATCAAAGTATAACAACAGATAATGGTGGTAATGCTTTCAGAAAAAAATTGATGACAAAATTTAAAGAAATTTATAATCAATATTAATCATAATTATTTAATTATTATGTAATAATGTTTAGGTGAATCACGTGATTTTGTTAAGTTTAAAATCTTAAGATTTTACTTGGTCAATTTCTTAACCAAATTGGAATTTTGCTCGATTCTTTCTTTTGATTAACATTAAAGATACATCATTATCATATGCCATTGAGTGGAAAACTAGTCTGGTATCGCATTCCTAAATCCGTACTGGAGAAAGAAACGTACCATAGTAAACTAAATTTAGTAATTTACCATAATAAACATGCATGTATGTTTTCAGAAAAAATATACTAATATACTGTTGTTGAATAGAGGTAAATTCAAATCATTACTAAAAGATAATTTTAATTCAGGTAAAATGATAATTTTTTGGAACGATACTAATTCAGGATGGTTGCAGGGGTTGAACTCTGTAATCATTGAACAAAACATATTGCAACCATTTACACTTCAATGTGAAATGGTTGCAGTTTACAATGGTTGCAGATTACAATGATTGTAAAGAAACAGTTGCGCAGTCGTTGAAAAAGAGTTGACTTCACTTGGTTGAACCCAATGGTTGCACAATGATTGCTTATCATTGTTCAATGGTTTTTCCTTTGATCTTAGTAGTTGAAACAATCAGTATTCAATGATTGATAGAAACGGTTTAAATTCAGACTTTCAAGGTTGAATTTTTTATAAGGGATATTACTTAAATACCGATTGACATATTTGATTTAAATTTTATAGGCTTATGCCTTATGGGTGTAGGACCTCTGCTGGAGAAGGAATTATCAATATGACTCCTCAATTAAAAATGGCCACCTTTTTTGTAAAAATACAAAAAATCTCAGTGGTATTGAGAAATCTGGAAATATTGGTTTTATTAGTGGATGCTACAATCGATAACTTTGATCAAAACGAAGACACTATTGATGGGAAGGGATCAACACATCCTATGGCCATGGTCTTGTATAGAAGATTAGAAAACAACAATGATAACAACGAGTCGAACAGAAAAACAACAAGATTTCTCTGGAAGACACAGATATATGTAACTATGAAAACCAAAGGTTGTTGAGTTAAACCAAAAGTGACAACAACACCGAATCCAATTTCATCAAAAGAAAATATAGAAATGATGACAACGTCCAGTTTCTACCACAGTACAATCAAATCTGACCTGATGTGGAGACTTGTGAGCCATATGAGACAATCAGAAGGCCCAAAAAGGCCATTTACAGGGTGGTAAAAAAACCTTACGCCATTTCCTCATTTCTTTGTCATTTTAAGAACTGATATTTTGCACATTTGTACATAATTCAATTTCCTACCAGCCTACTATATTTCATGACCATCAGATTGATAGTCACAATGTTACAGCACTTTAAAGAACATGCCCCAGTGGCCACTATTGTGCTTTGAGCAAACCTGCACATGTAGTCCAAAATGTCCCTACTTGTGGGGGGGATACGGCAAAGATAGAGTGTATTAGAATGACCTTAGGACAATTGCAGACCTCAAAAGTGAGATCATTCGTGTCATTCATGCCATATCTGCTGAAGAATGCATTTGGATCATTGACAATTGTGCAGGTTTGACTACAGCGTGATAATGCCCAAACCTGAAGCATGTTGTTTAAAGTGCTGTAAAATTGTGACTATTGGTCTGATGGTCATGAAATATAGTAGGGTTGTGTAATAGTGAATGATGTACAAATGTGTGAAATATGAGGGAGTAATGTTTTAAAATGACAAAGATATGAGGAAAATGCAGGGTTTCCATTTTTTGACCACCCTGTACAACAAAGCACAAAAGATTCTATTCAACCATCTCGTGTATAGAATATGGCAATGAGTTGGAAATATGCGCTTGACAGCAACCCTAGCCTTATTTCCAGTATAGTGAATCGAGATGGAAAGTGAAGCATGTTTCTGGCTGATGTAAGTCTGCAGAAGATTTTTGTAAAAATCTGTAAGAAAACCAGGTCTATCAGGGAGGTGGTAAAGTCACATTGTCACACCGCCAGCGACTATGCAGAATCTGTGAGCAATCTGTACATTCATCACAACTCAAAAACCTCATGAAGAATGCCAACCAAAGCGAGTAGAAAATGATGAAGATGATCTACGCAAGATATGTTGTCTTGTGGGCCCAAATTACTGATGGTTTCTTAGGAATGGTAAAATAAGGCAAATCTTGCTAATTTCTAATAAAATGTGCAAGTCAGGTGTGCAAAATGCGACAAAAAATAAAAAGTAATGAATCAATCATCTTAGCTGGAAGTTTTCAAAAAAGAAGGCTAATGACCATAACAGCAACTGGCTCTTACAGTGCAGAGTATATGGAGTACATCCCCAATGTCAAATCTGGACATAGTGTTCACAAAGCAAACCCCAAACTTTGGAAACCAGAAGGCACCGAATGCTACTTTTTTGATGGAAGTCTGGTTCCTAGGATGATTTTGAGAGCATCTGCCCCCATTGAATTAAGGGATCTTACCAAAATCTATTGTAAAGATGGATTTCGCACTAATCAGGCTTGTAGATGCCTACTTGCAGGATTATTGTGCATGTCTATCTGTTCCTGTGAGGTCGATAATTGCCAAAACACAATGATGGTTGAGGAAAAACCATATCCAGATGTTTAGAATAAAGATATTTGAAATAATCACATCTTCATATTATATAATGATTCTATTGAAAGATGTAAGCCCTTATATGTAAAAACTTGATACTTATCATGTTTAAAATGATCATAACAGTTACCTGATTTTTATATATATGAATATTTGGATAAGTTTATCTGAATAAATGTTTAATGATATTATCATTGTGTCTTAATAAACCGTTCACGTACTGTTATTTGCTGCTACATATGCATGACATATACTGTTTACAATAAGATTAAGTCTTTTTATAAAGGTTTGTAATCATAATAAGATATTATTGCTTGAATTAGTTTAGCACATGAGGTTTATATCATTTAGAACAAAAATTCTGTTATCTTAAAAACGAAGGCAATTCAAATTGTAATTTTACTCATAAAACAATGGAAATTATGTAATAATTACATAATTCTAAGTCCAAAGTATTTTTGATAATTATCAAAATTTATTTTAAAGTATATACACAATTAATATTTGCTTAGCTCATGATTTCTTTTTATCATTTCCTCAAAAAATGCTTTACAAAAAATGCTATGTCATAATAATAGATTACATAACATTATGTCATATTTATCGAATCTGACCCATATTTCAATTAGTCAAAATTGGTTTTTGTAATGTACTCAACAAGACGAACAATTTGATACCCATGACGACTTGTTATACTGGGTGCGGGGGTCAAGTTGATATTTGGCTCATTGGTAGCCTGCACTATTAACCTCTTGAATCCCAGGTTCTAAAATTGGGTTGAAATTGGTTTTTGCCAGCCTTTGACATTTTACTACAGGCATATACAACAGGTGTTGCTCAATTTAGTGAAATTGGTCAGCAGAGATCATTTCTACACATTTTAAAACATTTTTGGTGTAAATTGGATGAAGATTGTCAAAATTAGAGCAATTTTAGTGAACAATGTTGTGACTTTTCTCGTCACTCTGGGTTTCAAGGTCGTTTCCAAGGTGACAAGAAATCTTGTCACTCTGAGTAGTCAAGAGGTTAACTAGCTCTGCTAAAACTACCACAAAATCAGTTGAAAAGGCTGAAGCATTATCACGCCCGGTGATCGTGAATATGGGACGGAGGGGGGAGCAGGCAATTTCTGCTAGGAAATTCAACAAATCTGGAAGATTTATTTTTTCAAGAAAAGGTTTACTATTGAATTGCTAAATGGAAAGGCGCACGGTTATGGTAGAATATGTTAGGTTTTCTGGGATTTTTTCTGAAACGATACGCATCTAAGGTATGAGATCTATTAAAAAAAGGTGCAAGGCCATCAACAGGCACAAATCAACGTTTTTGCTATAAATCAAGCAACAATGGTCTGGACGACCTGTAATAAATACTTGTAATTTTTAACATTAGTGGTTGATAAGCCCAAGTGGGCTGGGTTGCTTTTTATTACTTTTCTTTTGTATTGTATTGTATTGCATTGTATTGAACCTACCACTGTAAATAACAATAAAACTAAACTAAACTAAACTGTAAGTGATGTTATCATAACTAAATTAATGTCATTGCTGAATTTATAAAATAAGTTTCCATATGTGAAATAAAAAATAATCGAAAATAATGAATTTGGGACGGAGGGGGGGAAGGGACGGAGGGGGGGAGCAATATGTATATAAGACATGATTAGAGATGTTTCGCGACTTTAAGTCCTTTTACTCCAAATGTCCCCATTCTTCAGTCTCCAGGGGTATATCATCCAGTTTCTTGCTAAGTTAATGAGTTCATTTTTCAAATACAAGAATTCGTGTGAAGTTGTTTCACTTTATAGAATTATTACTCCCCCCCCCCCTCCGTCCCCTCACCCCCCTCCGTCCCATTTTAATTATTTTAGATTATTTTTTATTTTACGTATGGAAACTTATTTTATAAATTCAGCAATGACATTAATTTAGTTATGATAACATCACTTACAAGTATTTATTACAGGTCGTGTAGTCCATTGTTGCTTGATTAATAGCAAAAACGTTGATTTGTGCCTGTTGATGGCCTTGCGCCTTTTTTACTAGATCTCATACCTTAGATGCGTATCGTTTCAGAAAAAATCCCAGAAAACCTAACATATTCTACCATACCGTGCGCCTATCCATTTAGCAATTCAATAGTAAACTTTTTCTTGAAAAAATAAATCTTCCAGATTTGTTGAATTTCCTAGCAGAAATTGCCTGCTCCCCCCCCCCCTCCGTCCCATATTCACGATCACCGGGCGTGATTATCTTCAGAAATCTTTGAAATTCAGAAAGATCTTTATCAAGACTGCTGTCAAAAGTATTCAACAAAATTATACTTAAGATTCCTACAATTCTGAAAAATGGATCAATATGCCGAATCTTAAACAAATCTGATAAATCTGGAAATGATTTTAAAGGAATTTCCAATATATATATATATCGGCTGCAATGACACTGGTCCTCACAACAGTTAAATATACGTACATGTTGTTGCCATCTTGCATCTTGGAACGCCTGACGCCACATAAATCTTCAGCAGACTGGAATATTGCCAAGATCTATTAAAGTTTTTGGCAATCTGGGTAAATTACATGGGAACCATTTATCTATTCAAAGTGTGATATTTATCACGATATCAAGATATTTATCGTGTCTTCTTTATAATTGTTTGCTTGATTTATTTCATCAAATGACATCTCTAATTGATAACATATTGATGATGATATAAAAATGTGAAAATAGTAGGAATAAATGTATTCCTTCTTTGTAACCTTTATTTTATGAATTCTAATAGGTCATAGATTGATATTTATGTCACCACAACAAGTGGTGACATAGAAATTTAATTCGAAAAAATTAAAAGAAACTAATAAACTTGTTATTACAAGTATTAGTCTCCAACTTTTTTTGTGTCAATGGTTGGAGTTTAGCAGTTGGTGTTCGAAGTTTGGCATTCAGCATCTGTAACAAATAGCAGGTGGTGACATGATATGCATGATAATGCCTTGTTCATTATTTTGGTCTAACTCTTTATTTCTAGTTTACTGAAAGAAGCACAGGCCATGGACAGTAAACGATCTGCAGAGATGGATGATGGAGAGGGTGACTCCTACAATAGTGATGACGTTGAATCCGAGAATGAAGACAGCGAGGACAGGAAGTTGTTGAGTCGCTATGGAATCTGGCTATTGGTAGAACTCTGCAAACCAAAGGATGATATCCCCATAGTAAGTATGGTATCTGGCTATTGGTAGAACTCTGCAAACCAAAGGATGATATCCCTATAGTAAGTATGGAATTTGGCTCTTGTTAGAACTCTGCAAACCAAAGGATGATATCCCCATATAGTAAGTATGGAATCTGGCTCTTGGTTGAACTCTGCAAACCAAAGGATGATATCCCTATAGTAAGTATGGAATCTGGCTCTTGGTTGAACTCTGCAAACCAAAGAATGATATCCCTATAGTAAGTATGGAATCTGGCTCTTGGTAGAACTCTGCAAACCAAAGGATGATATCCCCATAGTAAGTATGGTAACTGGCTCTTGTTAGAACTCTGCAAACCAAAAGATGATATCCCTATAGTAAGTATGGAATCTGGCTCTTGGTAGAACTCTGCAAACCAAAGGATGATATCCCTATAGTAAGTATGGAATCTGGCTATTGGTAGAACTCTGCAAACCAAAAGATGATATCCCCATAGTAAGTATGGAATCTGGCTATTGGTAGAACTCTGCAAACCAAAGGATGATATCCCTATAGTAAGTATGGAATCTGGCTCTTGGTAGAACTCTGCAAACCAAAGGATGATATCCCCATGATAGTAAGTATGGAATCTGGCTCTTGGTAGAACTCTGCAAACCAAAGGATGATATCCCTATAGTTAGTATGGAATCTGGCTCTTGGTAGAACTCTGCAAACCAAAGGATGATATCCCTATAGTAAGTATGGAATCTGGCTCTTGGTAGAACTCTGCAAACCAAAGGATGATATCCCTATAGTTAGTATGGTATCTGGGTCTTCGTAGAACTCTGCAAACCAAAGGATGATATCCCCATAGTAAGTATGGAATCTGGCTCTTGGTAGAACTCTGCAAACCAAAGGATGATATCGCCATAGTAAGTATGGAATCTGGCTCTTGGTAGAACTCTGCAAACCAAAGGATGATATCCCCATAGTAAGTATGGAATCTGGCTCTTGGTAGAACTCTGCAAACCAAAGGATGATATCGCCATAGTAAGTATGGAATCTGGCTCTTGGTAGAACTCTGCAAACCAAAGGATGATATCCCCATAGTAAGTATGGAATCTGGCTCTTGGTAGAACTCTGCAAACCAAAGGATGATATCGCCATAGTAAGTATGGAATCTGGCTCTTGGTAGAACTCTGCAAACCAAAGGATGATATCACCATAGTAAGTATGGAATCTGGCTCTTGGTAGAACTCTGCAAACCAAAGGATGATATCGCCATAGTAAGTATGGAATCTGGCTCTTGGTAGAACTCTGCAAACCAAAGGATGATATCCCCATAGTAAGTATGGAATATGGCTCTTGTTAGAACTCTGCAAACCAAAGGATGATATCCCCATAGTAAGTATGGAATCTGGGTCTTGGTAGAACTCTGCAAACCAAAGGATGATATCCCTATAGTAAGTATGGAATCTGGCTATTGGTAGAACTCTGCAAACCAAAGGATGATATCCCCATAGTAAGTATGGAATCTGGCTCTTGGTAGAACTCTGCAAACCAAAGGATGATATCCCTATAGTTAGTATGGAAGCTTGCTCTTTCTAGAACTCTGTACGTTATTCCTGAGAGGTAGGTCAGACACATACGGCATGAAGTTGGAACTATTTAAATATTCAAAAGTGGTCATAAAAAACTATTCACATCGTTAGACGTTTACCCTAGATACTAGGTTAGTTGTATGAATTTAGACCCAATGCCAATGAGTACTGCTCTTCAGGCTTTCACTCATGTCAATTTTCTTTCTAAAGTGGATCAAACTGTATCCAAAAGTAGAACCAAAAACGAATTCAAATATTGCTCACAATGTTTCTCATAGATGTTCTAGTTATTTTGGTTGTGGGTACAGGTAGGTTCTCTTTTACTGGCTCACTCAGTGAACCTATGGGAGGTGCAAGGCAATCCTCCCTTGGTACATCTGTTCATTGATCTGTCCTGCCATCAACATTGAAGGTGCTAATTGAAACTGCTATTTGTATTAGGTCCTATCTTGTTAAGAGTTTATGTGCTGAAGGATTTATTAGATGGCTGAGTGCCATTATTCAGGAGAGATATCATTTTTCTGATAATGCAAATATTGGATTTGGTCCAAATTTATATCGTAATGCCTTGTAGTAGGTCTCTTCACACAAAAAGGCATTTATGATATGGATTTGCAGATTGGCATTGGTATAGATTATGTCAGTTAAAAGTTAATTGAGTGCATGTATGGATTTGCAGATTGGCATTGGTATAGATTATGTCAGTTAAAAGTTAATTGAGTGCATGTATGGATTTGCAGATTGGCATTGGTATAGATTATGTCAGTTAAAAGTTAATTGAGTGCATGTATGGATTTGCAGATTGGCATTGGTATAGATTATGTCAGTTAAAAGTTAATTGAGTGCATGTATGCTTATTTGAAATGTTAGGGAATTTTGAAATAATAAATTGCATCAAGGAAATCGCAGGGAATTTATCAGAGTTGAAAAAGTAATGAAAATTGATAAGATGGCCATTTTATGAAGTCATTAATACATGGACTTTGTGAAGGCCTGATACAAGTATGAATTAAAAAAGAAATTTGGGAATGGCCATTACACTACATTAATTCTTCAAACTTGTCCTGGATTTTTTACAAAATATATATGTGGGAGTAGCTCAGTACGAAGAAATAAAATTATCAATAATCAAAATACTGTTGTTATTGGAGCTTTTAGAGCTGCTGTTAATTCTCTTATATTGCTTTCAGGAAGTCCTAGGTAGGCTCCTGGGAATGCTATTCCAGTGGTTTGATGCAACATCTTATCTCCCTGATGGTAAGTTAACCACCACACATCCCAATATCCAATTCCATTAACTTATCTAAAATTTATTTTCCCAAAAGAATAGAAGTAAATATGTGAGAAACTGGATGATACAAGTTCCGTTTTATAGAATAAAATACAATAAGTAATACAAATTAAGTATACGCTGAATATACTTATTAATAAGGAGTTTCACACCATTGTGTATCTTAATGGCTAACAAGATAATGGTTGTTGCGTCATAACCCTCACAGGCTGATCTTTTTGCATATAAGAGAGCAATAATTATAATATTACACATGTTGAGTATATGTACACTGCTTTATTTCTTTGCACATAGTTGTATATTCTACATATACCAGTATATAATCTAGATGTTATATAAAACACGATATGCAGAATTGCAGACTGAGCGTGCAGTCTGTGCCAGTAACATGAATCCACGGAATTGAACCAACCGCCATTTTTTAATTTAAATTCAATTAGATTAATTTAATTAGAGGTTTAATGAAAAATGCTTCACTATAGAATGAATGACATGACTGTACTCACAATTTCCTTAATATCAAACATCACATTCACATATATAGATATATGTGAAGACCCAATACGGGTTGATTTAAAAGTCTTCACTGGCATAATTCAAATTCAAAATATGACTACTTGTTGTGCAACGTGGGCTTCTTTATCCTCACCGATTGTTTTCTGTATTCTCAGTCTGCATATATATGAATATAATTGCACCAGTGCATGCTTTTCTAAATATTGTCCCATGCGATTACTCCATAGTTTTCAAATGTCTTAGATAAAATGTGATATCTGGTTGTGATAATCATTGTGAAGAACAATTTATTAGAGTGTAGTATATGTCAATATCAGTGGTAAAGAATGTGGAGTTTTGAAAATTTTAAGTTAAAATCAACATTTTCAGATTTTGTCATATGGGGGAGGGAGTTGAACTATAATAAAATTAACCTTTTTACAATTTTTGACACTTGGATGATAGCCATCCCTTATAATATATTTTGGAGAAAAGCTCTGTTAAATCCTTTGTAATAACCTTCATGATTCTTTTTGAATCGTGCAAGGAATATGATGGATTCAATTTTACCCCATGTTGTATAAGAATGTTTCTGTGTTTATTTACAGATCCACACTCAATGTACACTCAGTCTAGTGACACAAGCACCAATCCTGTCGGTTTGTCAACATTTCATTTCTAGAGCTTATAGTTTGTATTGGTTACTGTTTTATCTGTTTTTACCAATTTTTAGTCTCATATCCTGTGCATGTAATAGTATTATGTTTCTAATGGTCAAGTTTACTGATCAACACTTCATTCTTTTATGTTGAGTACATGACGTAGTATAGTCTCTGCTTCATCTTGAGATTTTGTAGTTTGTCTTAATATTTATGCTGGCAACATTCCACATCATGAATTTCTCCCAAAAGGTCCAATCGTTCTGACTCTCATGATGATGATTTCTAAGATCATTAGATAATCATTTTGAAAAGATTTACTTTGAAAATATTGCTTCCAACAGTTTACACTGTCTTTTCTTAGAATTCAAAATGGCAGCTTCTTCATACTCTTTTAAATACAATTCTTAAAACTCTGCTTCATTTATTGGAATGTGGTGCATGATGACAAAACACTATTCACAATCAAAGCACATTCACTTATCAAGCACTATTAAAAGTGCCAAATATTCACAGAATGTTTTAATTATTAAAAGCATGAACAAGTATAAAATAACATAATCAATTGTCTTTTAAATTTATTATAATTGTAGATAATGTTGGTACTACACTTGAGAAATTGAAGTCAGAGGTAAGGACACTGCAGCCCATCCTTTGTTAAGTATATTATGTAAATCAGAGATCTCAATGATTTTTTCAGCTTAGACCCCTCTCTACACTTGATATAATTGAGTGTATGTGTATGAATTTATTATAATAATGAAAATAATTAAATAATAATTGATGGAAATTATGTCAATTTTATGCCACTTCAAAATGGCTAAGATAATAACGAAAAATAACATAAATTTTTAATCAAAACTTTTAAACCTAAAAATTGATTTATATTATTTGTACTTTTTTTAAAAACCTTTTCCTTTTTAGTACATCTATTCCTGGCTTCAAGACATCAGTAAGACACACTTTGAAGTTATCCTCTCATGTCTGCTACCTCATCCAATGGAATATGCTCGGGTTGGAGGGCATTGGTAAGTTATCCTCTCATGTCTACTAACCTCATCCAATGGAATATGCTCAGGTTGGAGGGCATTGGTAAGTTATCCTCTCATGTCTACTTACCTCATCCAATGGAATATGCTCAGGTTGGAGGGCATTGGTAACTTATCCTCTCATGTCTACTTACCTCATCCAATGGAATATGCTCGGGTTGGAGGGCATTGGTAAGTTATCTCTCATGTCTACTACCTCATCCAATGGAATATGCTCGGGTTGGAGGGCATTGGTAAGTTATCTCTCATGTCTACTACCTCATCCAATGGAATATGCTTGGGTTGGAGGGCATTGGTAAGTTATCTCTCATGTCTACTACCTCATCCAATGGAATATGCTCGGGTTGGAGGGCATTGGTAAGTTATCTCTCATGTCTACTACCTCATCCATTGGAATATGCTCGGGTTGGAGGGCATTGGTAAGTTATCTCTCATGTCTACTACCTCATCCATTGGAATATGCTCGGGTTGGAGGGCATTGGTAAGTTATTCTCTCATGTCTACTACCTTATCCATTGGAATATGCTCGGGTTGGAGGGCATTGGTAAGTTATCTCTCATGTCTACTACCTCATCCAATAAAATATGCTCAGTTTGGAGAGCATTGGTAAGTTGTCTCTCATGTCTACTACCTCATCCAATGAAATATGCTCGGGTTGGAGGGCATTGGTAAGTTATCCTCTCATGTTTACTCCCTCATCCAATAAAATATGCTCAGTTTGGAGAGCATTGGTAAGTTGTCTCTCATGTCTACTACCTCATCCAATGAAATATGCTCGGGTTGGAGGGCATTGGTAAGTTATCTCTCATGTCTACTACCTCATCCAATGGAATATGCTCGGGTTGGAGGGCATTGGTAAGTTATCTCTCATGTCTACTACCTCATCCAATGGAATATGCTCGGGTTGGAGGGCATTGGTAAGTTATCTCTCATGTCTACTACCTCATCCGATGGAATATGCTCGGGTTGGAGGGCATTGGTAAGTTATCTCTCATGTCTACTACCTCATCCAATGGAATATGCTCGGGTTGGAGGGCATTGGTAAGTTATCTCTCATGTCTACTACCTCATCCATTGGAATATGCTCGGGTTGGAGGGCATTGGTAAGTTATCTCTCATGTCTACTACCTCATCCATTGGAATATGCTCGGGTTGGAGGGCATTGGTAAGTTATTCTCTCATGTCTACTACCTTATCCATTGGAATATGCTCGGGTTGGAGGGCATTGGTAAGTTATCTCTCATGTCTACTACCTCATCCATTAAAATATGCTCAGTTTGGAGAGCATTGGTAAGTTGTCTCTCATGTCTACTACCTCATCCAATGAAATATGCTCGGGTTGGAGGGCATTGGTAAGTTATCTCTCATGTCTACTACCTTATCCAATGGAATATGCTTGGGTTGGAGGGCATTGGTAAGTTATTCTCTCATATTAAGAATGGTGATATATTTAAAAAATAAAGATTGAGATTTTATGATTGATGACGTAATATATGACTGAAATTTTATTCTGTTCATTTTTAAAAGACCGAAATTGCATGAGCTTATATACAATAGATTTATTTTCATATATATCTGTGCTATCCCATTGCATAGCCGTAGGCAGCGGGGGTTCGGTGGGTTCGAACGAACCCCCGGTCATGATTTCCCAAAATATCATTTTGTGAAAAAATGCATATAACCAGAAACATTAAATTACTGTGCTATTTGAAAACTACATAAGTATATTATATGAGCAGTAAATGAATTGATATTTGTTATGGTGAACACGAGAGCCTTATTTTGTTAAAACATGTCATAGTGAAGTTACACTTCCCTCAAAACGTTTGGCAACCTTAGGCACGGGGTGAGATTTAATTTTGGGAAGACTCCAGAGCATGAGATTTTACATTTAGAAATATCAATAATTTCGCACAATTAACTTAAAAGCTGCTTTTCTCGGACAAAATAACCCATCTTGGGCAATGGCTAAATCAGTCCTTTGTAGGAATTTTGTTTTAAACCACTTCTGGTTCAATACGAAGTTATTGAAAGTTATTGAAAACAATGCAGACGTCCCATACCCCGAATGATTTTTACAACATTGACGAATAAATATCTGGCCCACCCTCTGTTACATGGGTTTTAAAACCAATATTAATCAATTACAAGACTCGTCAACACACACACATCTTTTCTCAGACGTTCAAACCTTTGACAGATAAAGTATTCTTAACCCCCACCATAATTCTAGTCATTCGAATGATCTTTACAACATTGACGAATAAATATCTGGCCCACCCTCTGTTACATGGGTTTTAAAACCAATATTAATCAATTACAAGACTCGTCAACACACACACATCTTTTCTCAGACGTTCAAACCTTTGACAGATAAAGTATTCTTAACCCCCACCATAATTCTAGTCATTCGATATGTGTCGGAAGGAAGTAAAGTTCAAACCAATTTGATCCGAACTGGCTTCCAAAAAATTCCTGAAAAATAATGATAAGCCATCGCAGGAGGTGATTTATTTTGTCCTAGATGAAGTAGCTGAAGTTAAAGAATAAATTGTGCGAAATAGTTGTTGGTATTCCTTGGAAACAAATCATGCTCCAGGGTCTTCTAGAAATCAGACGAAATAATGGTGGATTTGGGGCAAATCTGATTTTAGGACATTTATTCAGTGAAAGATTCACCGAAATATATTTTGATGCAGAAAATCAATTATAAGTTGTTTGACTTTTTTGCACGTTGCCTGTTTATTTTACTTGTGAACATTAAAGTTACAAAGCTACAAGGTCATTTATGAAAATCATTTTGACGTCTTGTGTTATTTTAATGGGAGAGGTTTCTTAATATCCTTTCAGACTTTGCTTGACGAAAATAAAGGCATCATTTTTATTAAATAAAATTCAAATTCAATTGTCTACTTAACTTAATGAAGGTATAAAATGAATTATATTTCCCCTCCCAAAATAGTTTTTTCTTTAAACAAATAAGAATTCAAACTTAAAGATGCTTTAATACATAATACTCCAATGGGATAGTTAGGATTGCCAAACTTTTGGAGGGGGTGTAATTGTACAAATTGCTTTTTTTGAGGAACCCTATAATGAAGAAGGGGGGGGGGGGATTTGTGAATAACATAAAAATAGAACCCCCGGTCACTAAATCCTGGCTACGCCACTGCCATTGGTATATTGTTTGTATCTGTCTTTCTGAAAGAGTAGAGATAAAAACATGGACATGAAAAGGGAACATTCTGTGGATTATTCTGAAGAATATTAATAGTGCGCCTTATAGTCCAATCTTGACAATAGTAAAGGTACCCTTGGCAAATGGCAATTGATACCTAAAACAAGCATTAAGGTGCGGAAATCACTTTTATCAATTATCAATAAGATTTTCATAATATTGATGTTATTGCTTATACTGATAAAGATTATATCAACATTGCCATTATTAGAGATAATAGCGATATTAGAGATATTTCGCAACAGTACTTTTAGCGTGTTTATAAATCCCTTATGTTTGTAATGTATAAAGTGTGTGTACTTATGTCATCACACGTGGGATGTGGCGCAACTCTATCTATTTTGAGACTGAATGCCCATCTTGTACGAGTACTTGTATCTACAACTATTTTTGAGGTTATGAGTATTGGCTATCAATTTCTAATTTTTTCTTCAACATGTATTGCAATGATTTCAGTATGAATAAAATGTCCCTTGGTCTTCTGGTCTTGGATTGTGATATTGGTTCTTGAATGGTGGGGGGAAAGGGGGTATTAGACATTGTTTCTTTTCACATTAGATCATGGTTTTGGGCTATATGGGGTTTGTTTTTCTTGACTGGTATGTATTTAGAGTTTGCTTTTTCTTGCTAAGTTACAACTTTTGGTCCTTTCCCTTTGGCACTAGTGCTTATATATAAGTATAAAATAACGTCATTCTGTGATTCTGTTGCCTGAGGATTTGAACAAGAAACTAGTAGCAACGAAATGAAATCATCCTATGTTTTTATTTAAATTTTATAATATACAGGGTGGGCCAAAAAACGCCACTTTTTTTCAAAATGCTATTACTTTTTTAATTTTTCATACAAAATCATAATTAGCATACCAAATGAAACTTGAGGTTGTTATCTAGTCATGGATCATGAATTGAACACTTTTACTTGAATAAAATATGTCACCAGCGTCTCACTTAAACATGTGGTGTGCCATGAGAAATAAGCATAATTTGCAAAATGTTCCTGAACTGATACGGCCTGATGATCACCAAGCTTATAGCCCTGATGCAAACCCCAGTGAGTATAGGGTATCAGAAGGTATCCAGGAGATTGTATGAAGGCACCCAATCTAGAAAATTACTCAACTAAAGCTGGCAATAAAGACAGGTTGAAAAAAACTTAGCTAACATTTCATTGATACTGCTATATCAGCAAGGTGACTAAAACTAAAATATATCATCAAATAGGGTGGCAGACCAATTGAACTCCTCTTTTAAATCAAATATAATCCAAGTTGAAGGACTTGTTATATTATATTATTACTAAGAACCTATAGGTGGGCCAAAAAAAAAACGCCACTTTTTTTTCAAAATGCTATAACTTTTTAATTTTTGATACAAAATCATAATTTACATACCAAATAAAACTTGAGGTTGTTATCTAGTCATTGATCATGAATTATACACTTTTACTTGAATAAAATATGTCACCAGCGTCTCACTTAACCATGTGGTGTGCCATGAGAAATAAGCATAATTTGCATAATGTTCCTAAACTGATGCGCCCTGATGACCACAAGCTAAAAGCCCTAATTCAAACCCAAGTGATTATAGGGTATGGGGCAGGGCACGCCTTAAGCGTCGGACTGCTGGTCATTATCTGGTTACTTTTGATACTGACCAGTTGATTTTTTCACTAGGTATAGGAAAATAACATTGCAACTGGTCAGTAATGCCTTTTTGACCAGCAGCTCTGGAATCCTTAGGGCATACACTGGTATGGGGAGGTCTCCAGGAGATGGTATGAAGGCACCCAATCTAAAAAATTGCTTAACTAAAGCTGGCAATTAAGACACGTTGAAAAAAATATAGCTAACATTTCATTGATACTGCTATATCAGCAAGGCGACTAAAACTAAAATCTATCATCAAATGGGGTGGTGGACCAATTGAACTCCTCTTTTAGATCAAATATAATCCCAGTTGAAGGACTTGTTACATTATATTATTACTAAGAACCCTTGGCACTATACAACTGCAAAATTTGGGGTATGTAGGTTGGAAAATAAAAAAGTTATAGTGGCTTGAAAAAAAAGTGGCGTTTTTTTGGCCCACCCTGTATATACAGAGCCATCACTTACAAAACATTGTTTATAAGTGAATAAATACTTATCTTGTTAAGACATAGTTATTGGTAGGGAATCATAGTGATATTTGGCATGAAGTCATATTACTAGCTAATCCCATTTCTTAGTGATAATAGCAATAGTTTTGATAATAGCGATTTTCAGATTTTACAGTTTGGACCATAAATAAACGAGGAGTTGATTTTCTATTACCATTCCCAAACCATGGTGGTTTGAAAGCCAATAGTTTCCAATATTGTCTAGATATACATATCCTGAAAAAATTGTATATTTTACATTTTGTATACTCTCATCCACTAAAAATTCTCTTATTCTTGACATTGGAAATCTTTACTTCAGCTTATCCATGACTCATTTATTTATGGTCCAAACTGCAGATATAGATGAATGTAGCGTACTAGGGAATATGAACATGCTTTTGCTGAATAATGATATTTGGTTTCAGGGACACATTGTCAACCAGAAAGACACAGATTAAAGAAGGCCTTCAGAAGCTAGTCTGCTTGATCCCATATGACATTGTTACCTATGAGGTATGGGACTACATTATTCCATACTGGCTGGAGTCCATTAGAACTGAGATCACCAAGGACCAGTTACCAGAACTCAAGACCCTTTTGAGGTATCAATTTTTATTATAGGGTATTAAAAAATGTACATCTCCCAGGGGTGTTACGCAATCGTCAAGGGGGTATGATTTTCGGGGTTTGCATCACTGGGAGCGAAGCAAGCCCGAAAAATTAAAAAATTTACATTGTATACATGGTGCATTCTAAGCAATTCAAACTATTATTTGCAAAATTTTACAAAATTGCTTTTCCTTTTTTGTTGGGGGGATGTGATCATGTATCCCCCTTGGCTACACCCATGTCACCCATCAGGGGATTACAATTGCAGAATTGCAGACAACCTCACATTCTCATGCAAATCCACACATTCATGTAACCTGTTTATAAATGCTATTGTAAATTCTTATAGGATAACAAAAAAACATTTGTATTTCATATTTTCATCAAATTGTGTTATCACATTTATTAAATGTTATTAGTATCCTGAAACATTGCCAATTGTGTGGGCTAACTATGGAATAAATATTACTTATTCCATAGTTAGCATGATATTCATAGGATAACATGTCAAATTAAAAACAGTATTTTTGTAATCAGTGGTAAAATATGATATTTTTTACACATTTTCACTTAACCATAGCATACGGTGTTTAAGCCATGACATACAGCGCCGTATGCTATGAATTATGGATTTTTGCTACTTCAGACTCAAAACAAGGCTAAGTGTCAACATCGCCAGATCGTTTGGAAAATTCGATTTAAATCACTTTAATTTCCGGCGATTCTGATGATGACTTTTACTATGGAATAAAAAGAACATCCTATGATTTACTCGTGATATGATTTTAATCCACTCATGGATATTGATATCTGCAGATATCATATCCATTCGTGGATAAGAATCATATCACTCATAAATCATAAGATATCCTCTATATATAGAATGGACACAGATCTATAAAATATTGTGTGGGTGTTAGTATACTGTTTTCAATTTTGCTTTGTATCTACATACTTAACTCATTATAGGTATATGCGTGTAATAAAATTAATAAATCTAAATCTAATCTATGTTGTTAAACAATAAAACAAAAGCTGATTTAAAGAGCTAATTATGAGTCCTGTTTATCTGTCAAAGAAATAAGCTGGTGTGGAATATTTGGATATAAATGTCACAACCATTAACTGACTCGCTCATTGCCATAAAGTCTAAAAGTAATGAATCAATTTACTTGAAAACCCCAAAATTTGGGGTACTAAAGAATATATTGCTGAAGGTATGAGTTTGATTTTTTATTATAAGCTAACATGTTCTCTGTGTATGTAAAACAATAACATATATATTATTTTTATGCTTAAATTTTTGTTTATTGAAAATAACTCATTTTATTTACATTAAGTTTTTATTCACACAGTGTTTATGTTTCTTTATTTTCAACTTTAAGATGAGTACATAAATTATTTAAGTTTTTAAAGTTATAGTATAGTGTATATGTGTGTTAAAGTGTATATACAGAATAGGAAAATAATAAAAAATATGAAAATATAAAATAGTTATATGACATTGTTAAACATGCAAACACCCAACCAAAAAACAGCATATTACATATGCAAAACATTATCTGGGTGTATACGCACAATAATGTAGGAGATCTGCTCTCCCAAGTAATATCTTTACACAATGTTATTTATTTGTAAAGTCTTTAAATGAAACTTTTTGTTCTCAGTAACTTTTGCTTACTGATTCTATGTACAAGTTTTGAAAATACATTTTTTGTTTTCGGTTTTCCCTTTGTTTTGTTTTCTTCAGAAACCTGATTTGTGTCAGTGTTGATCATGTCTTCTGGTGTGTTGTTAAGTCCCAATTGAGCGATATTTAATGGACCATCAAAGGAGAAGGATTTCATCGCTACCAGTGGCTTTTTAGGTGTTGCATTTTGTTTAATGTTCATACCTAAAATGTCTTCATATTCATTACTAACAACTTGAGAGGAATTGTCTTTTATGAGCTCTAAAGAGCCTTTCTGAAATGTTTTCTTGTTCAGTTTCTGTCTCAAATATGTCATCAATTTATTTGGTTCAGATTGTGAACGAGATCGCATGCTTCTTGGTGTTAATGCTCTGCAAACTGTCTGAAATGCCTTCAGTACGTTACAACCATCTGTAACATTTGTCTCTATGTAATTTCCCTTAAAGTGTACAGCTGCTGCTTTTAAGATCACTTCAGAAGGAATTCTTCGTTTTTGCGATGCCTCATTCTTGTTCCCAACCAGCAAGACAGTAGATTTTGTGTCACCTGAAGTTGAAAAAATCAAATTAATTATGATATATTTATATATATATATATATTATTATATTCATTATAAACCTTGATAGTTGTATAATTCAATACTTAGAAATATCATTTATGATTATGAGTTAATTTTTTCACATTTTCAAATGACATTGTCATGAATTTGACAAAAGTGTAATGCTTGCCTACCTTTAATGCTGTCTATTAGCCTTTTTATAGAGATGGCTTGTTCAAATGATTCTTGGTCATCAAGGGCGAAAACAACCATGAATGCCTCTGTTGATCGTATGTTACTCTCCCTCATCATTGGGAACTCATAAAATCCTGCTGTGTCCAAAATATTCACAAGAAGAGATTGTCCGTCTGCAAAAATGAAAAGAATGATTATCTAATTTGCATTTTTTTGTATAGCATAGTTTTGAAAAAGATTATAGACATTATGTTAAAGTAAAAAGCGTGAATCTTGCAGAAAGATCTTGCATGAATGTTTTTTTGTATTAACTCCTATTTATGAATAATTTAAAAATCGATTTGAATGGTACAAAAAATGTAAAGATATTTACCTTCAAGGTTTACAATTGTATTGTAGTTTTCTTGAATCGTTGGGCTGTATTCGGCCAGAAATGTTTCCTCTCTTAGGTAGTGCAGCAAAGCAGTCTTTCCTACATTTCCTGCGCCAAGTAGTGCTACATCATACAGCTTCATGTTGTTCTAATAGAGTGTAGAATGTCAAGTGAAGGTTTAGTTTAGCGAGTGAAAGAAAGAACAATTACATTGCATTTATATTCTTTTTAAGGTGATAATTATACCGATAAATGTTAGAATGTTATGAGTATGATGCAAAGAATTATGATGATTGTCATTGGTTCATAGCTCTGTGATGTCACTCTCAGGTTTTTACTATACTTGTGATTAACAACTTAAAGAATCCTTTATTACTCGAATATCATTTTGATTTAAATCATGTTGATTTAAGAATGATAAAGATTTGATGAAAATGTTCATGTAATTTATTTGTATGTACCCAAGATTATACAATAACATGTCTCTGTTAATAATTCTGTTTTGATGATTAAATCAAATAATTTAAATGGAAGTCCTCTTATTCACTGTACCACAACTAGTTACTTTGACGGAACGTCAATGTAACAAAATGGATGAACTTCCTGGATATGAGTTGTTTGTTTTCTCGATTTAAAGTTATGTATAAGTCATGTTGTAGATTATCATTTAGTGAGACAATGTAGTCTAGCTTTTAGAAAGGCTCTTGGTTTTGAATTTTAAATTAAGCTGTAATTCATTTATTTAGACCATCGCTTTTGTTACATTGACGTAAGTCGTCAAAGTCGTGATTGTGGTCGTGATTGTGGTCGTGATTGTGGTCGTGATCGTGGTCGTGATCGTGGTCATCCCGCTTTTTGTCATCGCCGTTTAAGGAAAACTGCTCATCAGATTTTCTCCAAATTCGCAGAGATGATAGAACATATGAAGTACTAGAGCTGATTAACTTTTGGGTGGCCATCTTGTTTTCTGGCGGACATTTTGAAGGTTTTTCGAAAAATCTTGACATCGCCATTTCAGGAAAACCGCTCATTGGATTTCCTTCAAATTTACACAAATGATAGAGGATATCAAGTACTAGAGCTAATTAACTTTTGGGCGGCCATCTTGTTTTTTGTGAAGGAGAATTATATACCAATCATCAATCTGCAGGATATTCATTCAACATCACGATTCATGATCTTTTGTCTTTTTTACAAATGTTTTTTTTAAGCTCCCCTGGGTGAGCAATTGTTTCGTTGGGAGGTATGTAATGTTATAACAACCAAGATTGCACTCCAGGTGATTGTCATTTATGATAAATTCATACCTTTACTGTTCACTAACCCAGGGTAAGTTCTCAAAAAGTCTTCCTGTATTCAAATATTCAAATGTTCAAGCTATACAGGAATCAATTGAATGGCAGATGGTGTTGGTTTGCATGTTAATGCCTTGTCTTATATTACACTTACTGAGATGTTCCACTTTTTCACTGTTTTTCAAATGCATTCTTCCATATTCAACCAAATAATATGCATATTTTAGTCCCATTGAATAAATCCTTCTCCGATTTAATTAATTCCAATGATTTGTTTCCAGCAAATTGTTCGACATTGAGATGGGCCCTCTTCCATTCCTGACTGAAAAGATCTATCACTTTGCGAGGGACCGCCTTGAAGATACACCTGCGTCAGTACAAGAACAAACCCTGCAATGGTTACAAGTAAGAGGAGTCTTCAAAAGATAAATACCATTTTAGATATTAAACTACATGTCAGTTTTGGTGTGGAGGGCTGTTTTAAGCACCATTTCCTTTTCAAAAATCTATGCTTTAAAACACTGAAACTCATGTTTCTTGGGAAATTGGACCCTGATGAGAAGGATGTTGCAGAATGTATAGTGGGCTTGGGGTCCAAATAGGGTGTGGTCTAAATTCAGTAATCATTCATAATTTTTCTTCACTGCCTATGAGCAATCTTCTGTATTCAGTAAATAATGGCAGCATAATCTAAAATTGTTAAAACCTCTACAATATTAAAGATATTACATGTATATATGTAACCCATGAATACATCCTATTATAATTAAGGATTAAAGGCCAATTTTATTTTTATTGTTTTGCATATGGTTCATCTTTGTGATCTTGAATATTTTTAATTTTTGTGGCCCAGCCTGTACTAATATACTTATGGTGATCTTTGTTATCCATAACTCATTTTGAATGTTTTGATTTCTTAGTTACTCTACTTCTAATGCATATATGTTGTTTTCCAGATTTTGTCATCTGTTGACATTGTGATTCCAATGAAATTGCTATTGAGCATATTTAAGACAGGAATTCAGTCTCTATCAAGCTACCAACCAGAAGTCGATGATGATGATGAGGGACCTTCTTTCATTCACAAACCACAGTTCTCTCCTACCTCCCCACTTGAAGAGTTCTTTCCAGGATCCCCACTGACACCTAACCACCAGGGTGCCATGTTCCGTGATTCCGTAGAACATCAAAAGGAGGGTGAACTGAATCTGACCTGTTGTATCATGATGGTTGATATTGTGATAAAACAGGTGAATACTTTTGTCCAAAATGGATTAAGTAAAGTTAGTGCTAAATCTTTGAATGAATCATCTATGTTGTATAACTATAAGTATTGTTGATTGCTTATTATCGCACCTTTGAATGTATATTGTGATCAGTTGGAAAAGTTGGTGTACAGGCAGGCAGGCATTCTAATGAATCTTGTCTATGCATTTCCAGCAGAGCTGTTGAATCAATTTCTGATTTTCAGGGATGTCTCTTTGTGAAACAAATCCAGAACTGATTTAATTTTGGGCATGCTGGGTAAATTTAAAGGCATATATAAGCTCAACAGTTTGATAGATTGATCTGAAACTTTATGGATGTTTCTTCATATGGAACTTTATAACTGATTAGTCTTTTGGGCAATATCCCATGTGAAAATTCCTTCTGTCCATTTTCTACCTAACTTTGGTCACTTAAATTGAGTATTTCTGCCAAACTAGGCTTCCAATGCCAATCTACTATTGAAGACTACTCTCATTGTTTAATCTATTTATGTAATAAAAGTGAGAAAAATGGGATCCTTTTTAGAGTTAGATATTTTGGAAAATGTGTTCTTACATGTAAGGTCCTTAGGTGTTTTTAAGAGAGCTTGAATGATACTTTTAGAGGAAACATTTTATTTTGATGAGAAATGTTGTATTTATTGTGAGAAATTACTCCAGCTCAAAGATATCACTGTCTAAAATTGCGATTGTTCACCCTGTGCCTTGTTTTTAATTTTCTTACATATTACTTGTTTCACATTGATTTGTTTACTCTTCATTACCCATATATATCGAATGAATCATATATGTTCCATAAATTGTTGATTATTTATTATCAATTTTCATTTTCAATTTGATTTGTTTACTCATTATACAGTATTTATTTGATGAGTCATGATTTCATGCAAGTAATTGTTGTTAAATTGTCTTTCATAATATTCACAACAGAGTAGATGGTTAATATATATATTTATCCCACGATTAATGTGTTATATGTACAATAACGGCTATTGATATTTCTGATATTATTGAAATCCGTGTGATATTTTCCAGAAAATCGTTTATCAAACTCATATGCGTGTGATATCGTTTATCTCACGCATATCCGTGTGATATCGCATTTGCATTTCGCGCCACAATATTGTTGGAAATTAGGTCAGATAATTTATTCTCTTTTGAGAAAATAGGTCCGTTAATTTATTCTTTTTAAGTTTCATTGGTGTATTGAATTACGATTGTGTATATAATTTGATTAGAACGCTGCTCACTAACGATTAAAAATGGTATTTATGACGAACTATATCATGTACAGAAAGTAGTGCATAATTTGTTCAATTGGTATCCTAATTTCTAGTTTATATTGTCTGCCAATGTCCTTGAAATTGGATCAGAACATCACAAGGTGATTGTAATCATGGGATAAACCCAATATCACATAATTTCTCGTGATATCATTTTATCGCCTTGTAGATATCAAATATCAACACTCATTCGCTTCGCTCACTCGTGTTGATATTTGATATCAACTCGGCGATAAAAATGATATCACTCAAAATGATGTAATATTCTGTATATATACATGTACATGTATATGTAATAGAATTTTATTAGTACTGATGCCCTTTTAGGGCCAATCATACCTCCAACAATTACAATTTTCAATTACAGTAAAAATATTAGTAATAAAGTAAAGAAAATAAGACAATATTCTTAAAATGCCATAATATGATGCCTGCATTAGACTTTTTGCAGCAGATCATTCCACTCTTGCTGGGTCACAAGTGCACATCCATATAAAATATACACATGCACTGCTTCAAATTGTTTTGCTATTTGTAATGGAGGAATTCTGTTGTTATTTTACCAGATATGGCTTACTTTACATGGAGAGCATGGCCCAATTTTTTAATTTACGATACGATTGATTTGGTAGCCATTTTCAAAAAGAAAATAGAGCTATAAGTAACAAATGACAATTGACTCAGTTTAATTCAGTTATCTTCTTGAAAATTTTGCAATATTTTTGCTCACAACTTTCCATGTTATTTATTTTCATATGGTAAAATTTTATTTATTTTCATATGGTAAAATTTTATTTATTTTCATATGGTAAAATTCTATTCATTTTCATATGGTAAAATTTTCTGATTCAGCAAGCTAAACCACAATTTATGTAACTACAAAATAAAACTACAACAAAACACAAAATGTACAATTTTAATTTTAATTTAGTAACACCTTAACATTATATTAACCAAATGTTTCCAAATGACTCTGTGCCTCATGATAAATAAATAAATATTGGGGAAATATACTGTATATGCATTTGTAAAAGGTAGAATAATTAAAGGCCCATGTAAATATATTTTTGTCATTATTATTGTATCCTATTTGTTTTATAGTTTGGGTTTTATTTTTTATATATTGGGAACACTGTTAATACAGCGGAACACAATACAGTGTACAAGGTTCTTCCAGACATTTGACAACACATTTAAAAGCATATATCAGTTAATAGGCATTATATATAAGTAAATAAAACATGTTAATGGCTCTAGGGTTTATACCTAAAATTCGATATTTTCAAGATCGAATTTCAACTTGGTTCAATTTTGCATTTGTTAAAAATCATCTACAAGTTGTAAGGAGTTCACATCTGACCTCAAATTTCAGATTTAATCTTTGGTTGACCTCCAGGTTGTCTTAAAAAGTACAGCTATTTTAGGACCCCATTGAGTTCAGTGTACTCATAACTTAATACCTCCATATTACATTGCTTATGTTTTGTAATTCAATTTTATAAGTTACGCAAAAAAATTAATATCCATGAGTCAATTTATTGTGAAAATTATGAATTAAAATGATTAAATGTTATTTAAAATGATAATGACAGCTATTATAGTTCCCTTGAAATCCAGTGCATGACACATGGCAAAAGTTTTATTTAAAATGATAATGACAGCTATTATAGTACCCTTGAAATCCAGTGCATGACACATGGCAAAAGTAGCCATAAGAATCCCCTATTACATCTTCACTCTTACTGGTGAGAGTATATCTCTTCCATGTCTAAGTATGCAATAATTTTCAGATTGAAACCCAGAAAATGCAAATCCATATGGGGATCTACAATGAGACTTGTAAAGAGGCTTTTTCAACTCTGACAGAGATGCTGCGTGCTCCTTGGGAGGGCGTCCATACCTGTGGTCAGGGCTTACATACAAATGGAGAGGGTATACCCAATCTTGGAGAAGAGGAGAACAACTTGGGCTGCAACTTCTGTGAAACAATTGCTCTCTGGCATCAACTTAGTATGAAGTAGGTGCAAATATAGATGTAAAGAATTAAAGCATTGATAGCATTATATTATAATATATATGATAGCATGAACAGTATTATGTATATAGCTTAATACATTTATGATTGTACCTACCTTGTATAATATATGTTCCAACTGTATAACATTTCTCACAATCTGTTGATTCTTTCACAACTGCTAACCATAAAATTGATTCGAACATGACTGTATTCACGCCTTTTATAAACTGTAAACAAAGTCATCATTTCACCCGGGGTATATTCCCGAACATACCCCTGGTGATTTGAGTAATGTGTGACGTCATAACAGCGGGCAGTAGTATTGGCGGACCATAATGAATATTCGAAACATTTTGGTGAGTTTTCATGTTTAAATCGTAATATAGACCTCAGAGCAGGGGTAATATTGTCGAATACACCCCTTAGGGCTAGGCACGAAAGCTTTCAAACCCCTCACTACCTTCGGTCATTCAGGTTACAGCAAACGTTTGTGCCTAGCCCTGCGGGGTGTATTCGACGATATTACCCCTGCTATTCGATCTATATTCCTTAAATAAAGTAAAATGAAACCCTGAAAGTAGAACAATGAATCCACATACTACATGGTCAATCAACACATGTTGGTCAATTAATACATGTTGAACATCAATCAACAGTTGCGAAATGTCAACCAACATTTCTCAATAATCAATCAACACATGTTGATAGTCAATCAACAGTTGCGGATGGTCAATCAACAATTTTACTAGGATGGGCAACCAACATTAGTCTGGTTTATTTCAGGTTGATCGAAATGCTAAGTCCAAGACTGTCTGTAAGAATCCCACAGAAAGGTCTGCCAAGCATTGAAGAAATAACAGCAAAGAATAATGTTCAAAAAGGTATCGCCAGATCAAATAAAGGTACATGTAACACATTCCTGCCCCTGCACAAAAAATTCTCAATGTAAACAATGACTACCTAAGATTTATTTTATTTTTATTTCATTCACATTTATACAGCAAATCATTTTCTTTAAGTCAACGTTTAACATAAGGCTCGTAAACTGTGATGGGGTTGTTTTTTAGCATAAATAATAAGATACATGTGTCTATGGTTAAAGGAAGATACAGTTAGAGGAATTGTAGTCGTCAAAACTTGCCATTTTTACTTGCCATACCCTTTCTAGATCCTATTTATGTTAAGAACAAATTATTCACATTCACTTTATAAAGGAGAAGGGTATCTAGCAACAGAGCCTCCCAATTGAAGTGGAAAAAAACTTTTAAAGCTTGAGCCTGTTTTTCAGCTTGAGTTTTAACCATTCTCGGTTTGGAGAATGAAGTTCATCGGCTTATTTCAACTTGATCAATGTCGCCAACAATCTTGATTTTTTTACATAGTGTAGATTGAAATGTGATCTTTTGAATATTTAATTATGGTAATATTTTTATTTCTTTCATAAAACATTCTTTCATAAGAGCAAACCCCCCACTGTTGTTATTTAACACAGAGGGCTATTGACGATGACAGTTGGGGGTTTGCTCAAATTTTTTTTGCAACCTCCACCGTCATTATTATAGACAGGGCTATTGATGACGGTGGGGGGTTTGCCAATATTTATACTGAATTTTTTAAAAAATAGGGACAATATGATTTTTCAAGTATATATGATTTTTTTTCCAGGGACAATATGATTTTTCGAGTATATATGATTTTAAGAGGGATAATATGATTTTATTTCCCAGGGAAAACAGTAGTATTATGGAATAAATATAGGTTATTAACTGAGAGGGATTGAATATGGGTTTTATTCCGAGGGACAATATGATATTGACCGAAGGGTAATATGATATTGACCGAGGGAGCGCAGCGACCGAGTGTCAATATCATATAACCCAAAGATATATTGTATATCCCTCGGGATATTCCCTGTATCCAAAACCTCCCAGTGCATAACCCCTATTTATCCTATGACAAGTGAGGTTTCAGGTACATAACAGCGGGATATAAAATTGATATCTTGGAGGAGCGGGACATATATATATCTCCCGCTGTATATCTCCCGCTAATACACCCCTCTAAAATGCTACATTTGGATAATGCAAAAAAACTGGAAAAAATAACCGGGAAACCGAAAATAGGATGATTTGCTCCAATACGATTTTTTCCCTGGGACAATACGATTTTTTCATGTAATACGCTCTAATACGATTTTTTTCCCGGGGACAATATGATTTTTTCATGTAATACGATTCAATAGGATTTTTATTCCCTCATATTTCCCTGGGAAAACAGTAGTATTATGGAATAATGAATTGTATTCCATACCTGATGAGGTTTCAGGGACGTATCAACCGGGAATATATTCCATATCCGGGCAAATATTTTTCATATGTCCCGCTCCAATGGAGCTCCGGGACATATAAATCGTATGTCCCGCTCAAAAAAATTTTAAAAATAAATTCGGGAAAAAAATTGAAAATAAAAATTTGAAAAAAATTTGTGGAAAAAATTATGTTAAAAAATTCTGAAAAAAATATTATGGAAAAAATGAGAAAAAAAAATTGAAAAAATTTGGAAAAAACTGGGGAAAATTTTTTTTTTTCATTTTTGAAAAAATTGAAAACAAATTTGGAAAAAATTGAATTATTTTTGAAAATGATAACATATTTTGCAAGTAAACACACCAGAGCATATGGGATACATGCTTATTATTTCAAACCTCATCAGGTATGGAATACAACAGTTATGCACGGTCGGTTTGGATACAGGAAATATCCCTTGGGATATACAATATATCTTCCCTTGGTCCCTTCGTCCCTCGGGAAGATATATTGTATATCCCTCGGGATATTCCCTGTATCCAAAACCTCCCAGTGCATAACATTTATTTATCCTATGACAAGTGAGGTTTCAGGTACATAACAGCTGTATATCTCCCGCTCCTGATTAATTTTTTGAAATTTTTTTTGAAAATATTTTTCAAAAATTTTTTTCAAAATTTTTTTTTCAAATTTTTTTCCAAATTTTTGTAAATTTTTTTTTAAAAATTTTAAACATTTTTTAAATTATTTTTCACATTTTATTCTTTTTTTTAAATTTTATGAAAATCTCGCAAACTTTAAGACCAAAACCCGCCTAGTACCTTAAGTTTGTTTTGGAATTTTGGATCGTAGTAAGGTATGATCACAGACCTAAAGTCCGTGGTATGATGTACCTAGAACCTCAGTAGGTATGAAATACATCTGTTATGTATGGTCAGATTTGGATACATGTTTCATATACAACAAATAAAATCATTAAACATTAGTTTAAAAAGTTAAAATACAATACAATACATGCCAGGCCCTCGGTAAGATATCAATATTTCCCTCGGGATATACCCCATATCCAAAACCTCCCATAACATAACCCTCATGTATTAGATAAAAAATCGTATTGTCCCCGGGAAAAAATCGTATTGGAGTGTATCACATGAAAAAAATCATATTGTCCCCGGGAAAAAATTGTATTGGAGCGTATTATTATTATTATTATTTTTCGACCAATGGGCATTTATTAATATAATGTTTGCATTATCCAAATGTAACATTTCAGAGGGATGTATTCTGGAATAAATAGGTTATTTCTGGTCGGGATTGAATATGGGTTTTATTCCTCAGAAAATATGATATTGACCTTTGGCAATATCATATTGACACTCGGTCGCTGCGCTCCCTCGGTCAATATCATATAACCCTTCGTTCAATATCATATTGTCCCTCGGAATAAAACCCATATTCAATCCTCCCAGTAAATAACCTATATGTTTTGTATTGTATTTTCCTATATTTTCTCGTGTTGTAAGAGTACATTTTCATAAGTTTACAATTACAAAGTGATAAGTTATACAATCATAACATTTACAGTTACTGATTTCTGTGATGACTCACTTATTGGACCATGATTGAGGGTTGCATAACATATTGATCGCACAGTTTGTTACAAATATTGCTTACATCACAAGAACATCTGTGGTTCCACCTAAAATTGTTTCTACAATAATTCAAAAATGGCCATCAATTTATATAGCAAATGTAAACTTATGATAATATGAGTACCAGTGGACAGATTTGGATCACATTTTATATTCATGATACCTCTGGTTTTGAAGTTGTGTTTGCTTTTCAAGGTGGCTTCCAAATTTTAAATGACTGTAATTTATGACAACTCAAATGCTGGTTTTATGGGCATAGGATCTCTACCTGAGAAGACATTTCTAATATGGTGTTTTGTCATGACCCTGTGTAGATTTTGCAAAAAAGGACAATACAATGAAAAATTATATGATTTGATAAAATATATGTTTTGTTATGTGGGATCTGCTTATTTTTGTCACTCAATTAATTCTTATTATTGTAATATTATGTTACATATACATACATGTACTAGACTAGACTTGCATAAGATATAAAACCTCTTTATGCTATTTGAGGTTCGTATCATCAAACAAGCAGGTCAGGGACACTTTTTGCTGATGGAAAGCTCTGTACATAGTTCTTATTTTCAAATATGTCTAAGTTTGAAACATGACAAAAGTTGTTTGAAGGCTCGTCTTTTCATTTAGTGATAGCCTCAAATCAGACCTGCCAACTAACCTTTTTACGAAAGCTACAGAAAAATTTATTGTAAAAGAATAATACACTACAGTGACAAAAATCTGCCAGATTAGATGATTCCATATAAGATGTTCGCCTCATTTCTTTTGTTATTAAATGTATTTCTCAAATTAGTCTCTTGCACCTCACTAACCTTGATAAATCTTGAAAATCTTTCACTTTTACTATATATAAAAGAGTACATTCGTATTTGATGGTATTTTCAGAAAACTCAATATACATATAATTACATGTTTTATTTTAACACCCAATACCTTTTTACAGCTATTGCCCAAAGCTCTTTCCCCCATACCCTTGAATCAAACCTGGATGAATTCAGAACAACTTGTACCAGAGCTACACCTCTCTCACCTTAGCTATTCGAAGCTGGCCATCAAATACAAATGATAAATGTTCAGTAATATCCTAGATGCGAGTAGAAATAATCTTGATGTACATCATTAAAAATTCACAATTTAGTCAAAGTGGTGTCATATTTGGAATCTACAAGTAAAAATAGTTCTAGAAATGTGGTTTTGAAAAGAGATTGTCAACTTTGAAAATTTAATTTTCTTTGAAAATGTGACTTCTAGGTCGGGGAGATTCCCCATTAATTATAACTATCACATACCTACATAAGGGTAATTTGAAAAGTGAACCACTAAAACTGATGCATATTCAAGTTTAAGGGAAATTTGTAATACCCTGCCATGTTATTTCCCCCGAATCAGCCACCTGGTGGCAAAACTGGTAACTACCTACTCGCATCTGAGTAATTGAATACATTGGTGTTGAAATTTCTTATTTGGTTTTCTTTTATTTCCAGTGAAAAAGGAGAATGAAAACAGTCCTGAACCTCCTGGAAATGATGATACATCACAGGGTGTAGAGGAAAAGAAGACAGAAGAAGAGCCTGAACCAATCTTCGATATAAGTAGTCTCCCTGTTCACTTGCAACTACTTCATGAGTACCTAAAGGTAAACAGCAACTCCTTCCAAAGAGTGGAATGGATTGATCTAAAAGGCTCTTAAAGGTCCACTATTTTGATTGATTTTTGGTCATAATGGGTCACTTTCTAGGTAACCATTTTGGATTTTCCATTCTAAAATGTTGTCTCTTAAACTGGGCATTCAGAAAAAATCTATAGGATCACATTTTCACTCCTCTGGGACAGCAAGGTCTTACATCCATTCTATGTTTGAGAAAACAGATATGTTGGTAAAGTAGAAGGGGGTTCCTCCAGTGAGAATCTTGTGATACTAACAAAGTAATTTGGTGGGGACTGTGCATGTTTGTCATTATAAAAAAGTTTTTTAGTTCCAGGCACTCATCTTATATCACTTACTTGCAATCACACAATCAAGAATCAGCAAGGGGTTATTATCATTGAATAAGAAACCTCATTCGTTCATTTTATTTTGGAGTCTCGCTAATAAGTTTTTTGTTTTTATGTCTCGTGCTAAAATCTTTTTTCTGCAAACTTAAAGAAAAAACGGCTTCACAGTTGCTTTTAAAACTTTAAGAACCTGTTCAGCTCACTTCATTCTAAATCTGATTAGGTTTTGGGCCTGTAAGCTCAATCATGGCAGCCATTTTGAATGTCTTAAGAAAAGTTAGCGAGCGATAATAATCCTCACATATTAGAATGGTGGTTTTGAGTTTTCATACATAAACTACATGTATTTAGTAGCTTTATAAATAATTTCAGGTGCCCTGTGATGTACAAGCCTATGTTATTGTTAACAGTAGTTTTATGTGATAATTTTGTAAAAAGAGATCAGCAAAAACTCTTGTCTACTTGTTTTCAGGTGAACTGTCTAGTAGATCAATTTCAAATTTTCAGGAATGATTAAGCAAGAAAATCTAGAGTTGATTAGTTTTTTGGCATTCTGGGTAAATGTCAAGGCAGCCATTTTGGATTTTTCATTCTAAAATCTTGTCTGTAAAGTCTTGTCTACTCGTTTTCAGGTTAACTGTTTGAGGGATCAATTTCAATTACTTTTTTGGCATTCTGGGTAAATTTTAAGATGGCCATTTTGGATTTTCCGTCTTAAAATCGTGTCTATAAAGCTTGTCCACTCATTCTCAGGATAACCATTTGAACAATCGATTTCAAATTTTCAGGGATGATTCTTAGAAAGAAAATCTAGAAGTGGTCAGCAAATTGGGTTAATGTTAAAGTAGCCATTTTAGATTTTGTGTCATAAAATCTTGTCTGTAAAGTCTTGTCTACATGTTTTCAGGTCAACTGTTTTAGGGATCAATTTCAAATTTTCAGGGATGATTCTTAGAAAGAAAATCTAGAAGTGGTCAGCAAATTGTGTAAATGTTAAAGTAGCCATTTTGGATTTTGTGTCATAAAAATTTGTCTGTAAAGTCTTGTCTACATGTTTTCAGGTCAACTGTTTTAGGGATCAATTTCAAATTTTCAGGGATGATTCTTAGTATGAAAATCTAGAACCAATACCTTTTTCGGCATTCTGGGTGGCCATAAGGTGGCCATTTTGGATTTTCAATCCTAAAATCATGTGTGTAAAGTCTTGTCTATGCATTTTCAGGTAACTGTTTGAGGGATCAATTTCAAATTTTTAGGAATTATTTTTAGTATGAAAATATAGAACTCATTACTTTTTCAGCATTCTGCTTAAATTTTAAGGTAGCCATTTTGGCTTTTCCATCCTAAAATCATGTCTGTCAAGGCTTGTTTACTCATCTTCTCGATAACAATTTGACGGATCAATTTCAAATTTTCAGGGATGATTTTTAGAAAGAAAATCTAGAACTGATTAGTCTTTTTGCAATTTTGGTAAATGTCAAGGCAGTCATTTTGGATTTTCGGTCCTAAAATCTTGTTTGTAAAGTCTTGTCTATGCGTCTTCGGGTAACTGTTTGAAGGATCAATTTCAAATTTTCAGGGCTTGTAAATTTTGAGTTGGCCATTTTGGATTTTCTGTCCTAAAATCATGTTTGTGAAGTCATGTTTACTCATTTCCAGGACAACCATTGGATGGATCGATTTCAAGTTTTCAAGAATGATTTATAATATGAAAATCTAGAACTGATTAGTTTTTTGACATTATGGGTAAATGTTAAGACAGCCATTTTGGATTTTCCGACCTAAAATCTTGTCTGTCAAGTATTGTCTATGCGTTTTCAGGTTAACCTTTTGAGGGACCAATTTCAAATTTTCAGGGATGATTCTTAGTTTGAACATTTTGGAACTGTTTTTCCGCATTCCATAAATTTTAAGGTGCCCATTTTGGATTATTTGTCTAAAATCTTTTCTATATAGTCTTGTCTACATGTTTCCTGGTGAACCAGTTTACAGATCTTCAAATTTTCAGGAATGATTCTTTGTAAGAAAACCTCAAACAGTCCAGTCCAGCTAAATTTTAAAGCGGCATTGGATTTTCTCTTAAAATCTAGTATTTTCAACTGATTAGTGTAAGGCATTCAGGGTGTGAAGTAATTAGGATCATCCATTGGTGGGGACATATTGTACACATTTGTGTTCTTGCGTATTTATGTGTTTAAGGTTGACACTCAAAATCTCTCAAAATCTGATACATGAATATTATTTTGTTAAATTCAATAGTTAATGTACAATTCCAGTTATACATATAAATAAAAAGTTATATTTTACTGCAGATTGTCAAATCATATTTTACAAATTTTCTAGTAACATTTTAAATAATTCAAACATATTGCAGAATTGAATAGGGTCAAATCGTACTGAAGTTGAGTTTTAATGGGTTAATTTTTACTGGGGTTGATCATGAGTTTTACTTGGGTTGAGTTTTATTTCTTGGGTAGACTCTAACTGGGTTGACTTTTATCAGGTTTGAATTCTACTGGATTGACAATTACTGGGGTTGATGACGAGTTTTACTTGGGTTGAGTTTTACAGGGTTTTGACTTTTACCAGGGTTGAATTGAATTGACCTTTACTTTGGTTGAGTTTTACTGTATTTTGTATTATTATTAGGAACTTGATACACAGACAGACAGTGAGGCATTGTACAACATGCTAAAGGGCATTAAGTTCCTTTGCTTGCACTCTGAGGTGCTCAACTACTCTCTCAATGAACATGAAGACTTTGTTAAATTCTGTATGAAGAAGACACTAATACCAAGGTGAGTATCATTGTACATGTGAAACATTTTTGTTATTTTCTGAGTGCAATTGGTTTGTCACCAACAAGTTTTACACACATGCCTCAATGTATTACTATAAATTCAAATGTTAAAGTGTCCTAAGTGCTCAGTAACTAGCCTATATCTGCACAGTACAGAACAGGACCATGTCAATGTCGTTGTATTGTCGTTGGACAGTATTTTCCAGATTGTCTGGAATATCTGGAAGGTGTATCTTATACAACAATGGTAGATACATAACGCCAGCCCATGAGCCCCATATTTTTTGATATTTCTTGTACTCTTTTATATATTTTAACGGTGATAAATTTTCAGCCTATGGAAGTTACTTCAAGCAGAGCACTCACAGATCGCTTTGGTCTGCGTCCCTTTACTACTCCACTGTCTCACATTACCCTCTGGTAGCGACATTTTGTGGCACTTGGTCGAAACAGACTTTACAGATGAAGACTGGCGGTCAAGATTTGCAGCAGGTATGTCAACATTGGATATTGACTTTATAAGAGTAAGGGTTTCAAGAACATATAATTCATATGTGCCAGTTTTTGTTGTTGTGATTGAAGAGTATTAGAGGATTACGGTTTGCCTGTGATGAGTCAGTAAAAGGTCTCATGGTATATGATAGTATCCATTTTCTATCACATGACACTCCTATATCATGCTTTACTAAATTATTACACCATTTAGGGTATTGGTATGATAATTAGGATCTAGCATACAGAAATAACCCTTGAGAGATCCAAGAGTTTTAAGAAAATTGCTTGAGCCAGAGTGGGGTTCACATTCAGGTTGGGGAAGTGGCATGAGTATTATTTGGATCACATGTTACTTATGATCACATAAAGAATCTGAGGCAATGCTAAGTAAGGGCTCATTTATCTATAATCACCTATTTTAATCTACATTTTCATATAAGGGACTTCTTCAAAAAATATGACATTGACATTCTTATGATTCTAAATGTACTTCAGCTATATAAAATTGAACATTATATATATGATTCCATTTGTAGTTCAGCAATATACAATTGACATTGAACATAATTATATATGATTCCATTTGTACTTAAGCAATATACAATTGACAATGAACATAATTAAATATGATTCCATTTGTACTTCAGCTATATACAATTGACATTGAACCTTATATATGATTCCATTTGTACTTCAGCTATATACAATTGACATTGAACCTTATATATGATTCCATTTGTAGTTCAGCAATATACAATTGACATTGAACCTTATATATGATTCCATTTGCACTTCAGCAATATACAATTGACATTGAATCTAATTATATATGATTATATTTGTAGATCAGCAATATACAATTGACATTGAACATAATTATATATGATTCCATTTGAACTTCAGCAATATACAATTGACATTGAACCTAATTATATATGATTACATTTGTAGATCAGCAATATACAATTGACATTGAACATAATTATATATGATTCCATTTGTAGTTCAGCAATATACTATTGACATTGAACATAATATATTTGATTCCATTTGTACTTCAGTTGGCACTGAACATAATTATATATGATTCCATTTGTATTCCAGCAATATACAATTGACATTGAACATTATATATTTGATTCCATTTGTACTTCAATTGACACTGAACATAATTATATATGATTCCATATGTACTTCACAATATGCAATTGATATTGAACATAATAATATATATGATTTAATTGACATGATTCCATTTGTACATAGCATTATGCACTTGACATTGTTTACACCTATAATTTTATATGTACTGCAGCACTGAATCATTTCATTATCTGACATGTCATCCATAAAGTTCTGTTTATTAGCACCCCATAATGGTCATATAGAAGTGCATGATGCAAACCTGTGCTTCACAGTTGGCACATTATAGTTGAAGAAGAGTATTGTACTATTAATAGGACAAACAAATTTGAATATTTTTATACATGGCTAATTATTATGGTAGTTGTTAATTGATAATTATAGCACAGTTGGTTATTAACGCTAACTTTATGTGCTACATATTTGGCTCACACAGTGAGCCTATGGGATCGACCAGGCATCCGTCCGTTGGTCCCTCCGTCCGTCAACATTGGCCGCACAAATTAAAACTGCTATTCGGATTGAGTCATATCCACTATCATTTTATGCATATCCATAATGCCTATTTGACCTATTATCGCCATTTCCAAAGTTCGCCCGGTTTTCGAGAATTTGCTGATTTTGACGTCAAAAAGTCAAATTTTCTGTAAATACTAGACACTTTGTTGAAGTAGAACTTTCAAATAACTTGTAGCAGTTGCTGTATATGCAACTTATGTTCTCTGAAGATTTCAAACCTCTTGAAATTACAGTTTTTGGTGTTTACTCAATAAAATTTGACAAAAGTAGGATAAAGTCAATCATCATTGGCTGCAAAAAACACTGTGGGAGCACAGGACTGTGGGTCCTTTATTTTTCATTTTCTCTTGTTCTTTGATTGGTCAAAAGTTTAGTCTTTGAATGATTTACTATCATATGTCATGGCATGGTCCCTGTGGCCAATTTGAAATAGTATATGGACCTTGCGTAATAGCATGATCCTTGTGGCCAATTTGAAGTAGCAAATGGACCTTGCTTAATAGCATGGACCCTGTGGCCAATTTGAAGTAGCAAAAAGACCTTGCGTAATTGCATGGTCCCTGTGGCCAATTTGAAGTAGCAAATGGACCTTGCATAATAGTATGGTCCCTGTGGCAAATTTGAAATAGCAAATGGACCTTGCGTGGTCCCTGTGGCCAATTTGAAGTAGCAAATGGACCTTGCGTAATTGCATGGTCCCTGTGGCCAATTTGAAGTAGAAAAGAGATCTTGCGTAATAGCATGGACCCTGTGGCCAATTTGAAGTAGCAAATGGACCTTGCATAATAGCATGGTCCCTGTGGCAAATTTTAAATAGCAAATGGACCTTGCGTAATAGCATGGTCCCTGTGGCAAATTTGAAATAGCAAATGAACCTTGCGTGGTCCCTGTGGCCAATTTGAAGTAGCAAATGGACCTTGCATAATAGCATGGTACCTGTGGCAAATTTGAAATAGCAAATGGCCCTTACGTGGTCCCTGTGGCCAATTTGAAATAGCAAATGGACCTTGCGTAATTGCATGGTCCCTGTGGCCAATTTGAAGTAGAAAAGAGATCTTGCGTAATAGCATGGACCCTGTGGCCAATTTGAAGTAGCAAATGGACCTTGCGTAATAGCATGGACCTTGCGTAATAGCATAGACCCTGTGGCCAATTTGAAGTAGCAAATGGACCTTGCGTAATAGCATGGTCCCTGTGGCCAATTTAAAGTAGCAAAGAGACCTTGCATAATAGCATGGACCCTGTGGCCAACTTGAAGTAGCAAATGGACCTTGCGTAATACCATGATCCCTGTGGCCAATTTGAAATAGCAAATGGACCTTGCGTAATAGCATGGTCCCTGTGGCAAATTTGAAATAGCAAATGGATCTTGCGTGGTCCCTGTGGCCAATTTGAAGTAGCAAATGGACCTTGCATAATAGCATGGTCCCTGTGGCCAATTTGAAATAGCAAATGGACCTTGCATAATAGCATGGTCCCTGTGGCCAATTTGAAGTTGCAAATGGACCTTGCGTAGTAGCATGAACCCTGTGGCCAATTTGAAGTAGCAAATGGACCTTGCGTAATAGCACGGTCCCTGTGGCCAATTTGAAGTATAAAAGAGATCTTGCGTAATAGCATGGACCCTGTGGCCAATTTGAAGTAGCAAATAGACCTTGCGTAATAGCATGGTCCCTGTGGCCAATTTGAAGTAGCAAAGAGACCTTGCGTAATAGCATGGACCCTGTTGCCAATTTGAAGTAGCAAATGGACCTTGCATAATAGCATGGTCCCTGTGGCAAATTTGAAATAGCAAATGAACCTTGCGTAATAGCATGGTCCCTGTGGCCAATTTGAAGTAGCAAATGGACCTTGCGTAATTGCATGGTCCCTGTGGCCAATTTGAAGTAGAAAAGAGATCTTGCGTAATAGCATGGACCCTGTGGTCAATTTGAAGTAGCAAATGGACCTTGCGTAATAGCATGGTCCCTGTGATCAATTTGAAGTAGCAAATGGACCTTGCGTAATTGCATGATCCCTGTGGCCAATTTGAAATAGCAAATGGACCTTGCATAATAGCATGGTCCCTGTGGCCAATTTGAATTAGCAAATGGACATTGCGTAATAGCATGGTCCCTGTGGCCAATTTGAAGTAGCAAATGGACCTTGCTTAATAGCATGGTCCCTGTGACCAATTTGAAGTAGCAAATGGACCTTGCGTAATTGCATGGTCCCTGTGGCCAATTTGAAATAGCAAATGAACCTTGCATAATAGCATGGTCCCTGTGGCCAATTTGAAATCGCAAATGGACCTTGCGTAATAGCATGGTCCCTGTGGCCAATTTGAAGTAGCAAATGGACCTTGCGTAATAGCATGGTCCCTGTGGCCAATTTGAAGAAGCAAATGGACCTTGTGTAATAGCATGGTCCCTGTGGCCAATTTGAAGTAGCAAATGGACCTTGCGTAATAGCATGGTCCCTGTGGCCAATTTGGAATAGCAAATGGACCTTGTGTGGTCCTTGTGGCCTATTTGAAGTAGCAAATGGACCTTGCGTAATAGCATGGTCCCTGTGGACAATTTGAAGTAGCAAATGGACCTTGCGTAATAGCATGGGACACTGCACTGGCATTTTCTATATTTAAGACATTAAAAGTGTATGTATGAAATAATAAATTTTATTCTTACTGTACTTCAGTTATGATATGAATCTTTGCATTTAAGATCCACATTATGTAAATTGAATTGATGTTTTTCCCAACAGTGGAGAAGGTGACTGTGCTGGCGAGGCTGATTGAAGCGAAGACTATCAAGAACAATCAACAGATAATGACATCTTTGGCTCACACCTTCTGTCACCTTATCTCCTCATTGGATGACATGAATCCATCAGTTGTCACACGGACCAGACTCTACATAGAAACCATTAAATCATCATCAGTAAAGGTAAATCATCACTACCACTTATCAGTCCAAAAGCCATAAGAACATGTTGCATCAAAGTCCATGTAAATGTAAAAAAGGAATTATTCACTTTTATTCAGCCATTTCTTGAAGCTGTGTGTTAGAATTGAGAAATATCTCAATTTTTGATTGTATAACTAGAATCACTTTGAACAGAACTTGCAGGATTGAATGTTCTAGTAGTCTTAAGTTGTCTTTTATTTACAGTGCATATGCCAGTGTCTGGAGTTCCAGTTTGACTCTGTCATAGATGACCGCACTATGATTCTGCAACGCATGTACCAATTTTCAACCATACTGAAGGACCAGCCAATATTAACATGGGATTTCTTCCTGAACCGCTTTGATACACTCTCACTTGAGGCACAACTTGATCTAGAGAGCAGTGGTGATATAGCCTTTCCCACAGGTAAAATATTGCATAATTCAATATTAACAAATGAAAAACATTTCACCTTTCGACATTTCTCTCTTTGAATTGAAGTGTTGAATCTCTAGTGTTTGTATGGAAAACCCCAACATGGAAAATTTGTTTGTATCATTTTTTGTATTATGTGAGAGATAAATGAAACATTGAAAGATAATTTAAAGATTTTCTTGTTCAGGCTTGAGTTAACACAGGCCAAAAGATGACTGTATTAATTAAGTTATAACACCCTCTGATTGTGACACTTGTCTCTTTGATCATCACACAGAATCCAGTACACTACAGGCAAACAAACCCCTAAACCCCATGAAATGAAAGATTTGTTTTGAATGAAACTGATAGAGTTCATTTATTTTAACAGATTTGAAGAGCAGTAACAGAGAGAGTGAACACTTCCTGCGTAAGATTAACAGGGCAAGGTTTGCTTTGGCACGTACAGACAGTGTACGCTCCGTTTGTGGCAGTATCTACGGCAAACCTCCTTACAGGAGAGCTGCCTCTGTCCCGTTGCATCTGATCAACCGCACTGCGCTACCTAAAGGTTTGTTGATAATTACAAGTTTTGTAAGGTGATTCATGACAGACAGGATAGGAGGGGTACCCTATAGTTAGAATTGTCTTGATTTCTTAGAGCATGTTTGAGGAAGTATTTTTTCAATCTTTGATTACATTTAATATTGGGAATAGAACACTCAATGTTTTTACATTGCCACCAACACCAACACACTAAATATGTACACTGTTAGATTTCAATTACTTTTGATTGTAGTTTGGCACTCAGGTTATTATAATTAAAAATGATGCCTGAATTTAGTAAATCCAATGAATGTTTAGCTGCTCTCCTGCACTCCTTTTTACAAGCCCCTCTCTTGTTATTAAACTGGTGGTACTTAAATGACAGTATGTCAAATAACACCATCAGGATTCTCACCACATTGAATAGAGAATCATCCGTGAGAACTTTTACAATCATATGGCCTCAAATAATATATTTAGGAAATGGTGAGCTTTCTAGGTTGCTGAAATTAATCAGCTTTTCAAAAATATTTTACCTTGATGTTGATGAGACTTAGTTCGTAGTTGTTTGATTGTCTGAAAAACAATTATATACCAAGAGAGTCATTATTCATTGGAAAAGAATATTTTTTAAATTTATTTTTGTATAGTAGCTTTTAAAATGCTTATTATGTTTGTTTATCATTTGTGTTATGTTTTTTTTCTTTATGTTTAGTTTGTTTCACTGTAGTTTTGTTATGTTGTATCTTAGAGAAGGGGGTTGACAGGTTTCCAAAATGGCAGTCCCTAATGTACCTGTCGCGTTGGTGGCTACGACGTCACCTTTCTGATCAGCGTCCATCAAATGCGTCGTCTTACGCTACAGAGGATGGTGATTCAAACATGGAGGCCAGCACATCAGAGTCGGAGAATAGCAATAAAAAGGATTCTAAGTCGGAGAACTCTGGATGTAAAAGTGTGTTCTGCTGTAGTGATGTGTTAGCTTTTTTTGCATTTCACTAAGTCAGTGTTGTAATATTTGTAAATAAGATATTATGAGTGGTATGTCTCTCCAGAGGAATTAGAAATGAAATGAAGTGAATGCGGCACTGCCTTCAAAATCCATATTTTATATACTTGAGATGTATTCTGTAAAAATCAACTCACACTTCCGAAACCTCCCCACAAAAAAAATGTTTAAGAATATCCCTCAATTTGAAATCTTTCAAAATGTGTGTTCGAATAATTTGGTTCCGAAAAGGAATATCTGTTAGTTAAGCAAAATTTAAATGGTGTGTGATTCATTTTTAGGCCATGTGTGACTTTTCACTGGGCCCCACATGCCCAATTTCTGATCACTGAATCATGACATCATTAGACCTTGGTAAGGATGTGGCCACTAATTTATATGTGTAAAAATGCATCCTTTGGTGCAGCTTAAGCAAACATGGGATTTTGAACCGTGTTCCAAAGGATGTACATGTATTGGTGAAAGAAAGATTCCTAAACTAATCATGATAATGATGATGATAATTATATGTTGTTTTTTATTTGTTTGCTCAACAAGCTTGCGGTTTCTATGCAATTTGGTGACTATATATATAATGTATAATATATATAATATAAGTATGACGTATGGCCCAATCTAACAGATCCCTTGGTCTGTAAAAAATTATTAATTTTTTTTGTAATGCTTGTCCAGAGAACTCCACGTTGGGCTTACAATGCAGAAAAGCACATTTTTTTAGCTGTGAGTTGAAAAAAATATTTTAAACGAGCCTTGATGAGAGTGCATGCAGCAATAAAGGTAAAGCAACGGCACATTCCTTTTCCTCAAATGGACAAGTTCTACTTCAACAAACGTGTAATATATGGAGAAAATATAAAAATAACATGACATACCTTTCTAATATCTTATGTACAAGTTCTACATGTAGTTTTATATGGTGTGCTGCTTAAGTGCTATGATTGTTGTTTGGTTATGGGGTTACTATAATCATATTTCTTACTTGAACTTTTGTTCTTCTGCTGTTCTGGATTAAACCTGGCTATTTGTATGCAGAGACTACCAATGAAATATTGATTGATCTACGATGTTGCTGTCCCTCATATAACATTTGGAATATGTTAAACACTGGATGGAGCCCAGGAAATAAAAACTCATTGATCGCATATGCTTATTTGCAAATTCATTTATTATTTTGATTACATTGTGTGTGTGTCCTTTTTCTAAATGAGTGAACTCTGACTTCAGCTATGTAGTTAACAATAGTCTTAGGTGTTCTTTATAACAAGATGATGGCTCATTTGTGTTTAATTGTATTGCTCGATTTACTCTTTGCTCACTGAGATTTTTAAAAGCACGAAAACTATGTGAACCTATGGGCAGACAGGGGTGCCTGTTACATATGGGGTCATGAGATTTTCAGAAAACATATACCGATTAAGGCATGAAAACCAAATGGAGATATTGAGGCTTTTTGGACCCTGGGTGTAAATATTGTGAATATGTTGTTAAGTGTTTATACAGTAGAACCTGTGTAAGTGGAACACCCTTTGTTCTGCCAAAAAGCGTTCCACTTAGGTGGTGTTCCACTTGCAGAGGATTCTTAATCCTCCTCATTCTGCCAAAAATGTTTTCTGACATTCTTAATCCTCCTCATTCTGCCAGTCTCGAGCAAAAAGGTTTGGCAATTAAGTTTTAAAGACTTGTTCCTCCTGCTAATAATTCATTTGTTTTTAATTGACATTCTTAATCTAACTTATCAAGGTTGAAACAAACAGCAAGGGGTAGCATCACATGTCCATCTCTACAGGAGGTTCATCCAATTTGATGAATGATAATCTTATGAAATCCTAATTTGCTGATTATCAAATTAATTAGTGGCAGCATCACATGTTAATCTCTACAGGAGGTTAATCCAATTTGCTGAATGGTAATCTGTAAAAATCCTAATTTGCCAATTATCATTTTATTACCTGTTTTCATATCCAGATATCACTGTAGGAGGTCAATTCTGTTTACATAAGTATACATTTTGAAAGGACAATTCTCGATTTGGAGAACGAAGTTCATCGATCTAAATGAGCATTATCCCTGCTTCGGTCAAATTTGATTTTTTTTACATAATATAGATTTGAATGTCTTCTTTTGAATAGTCATAATTTAATTTGGGTAATATTTCTAAATTTTTCGCAAAAAAATATTAGCGCAGTACACTGATGAACTTCTTTCCCCAAATCAAGACTTGTATTTTATTGAATCGCTCTAATTGAGCTTTATCCCTGCTTCAGGCCAATTTGTTATTTTTACATCTTGTAGATTTAGATGTCCTCTTTTGAATATTCATAGTTTAATTTGGGTAATATTTCTATATTTTTCATGAAAAAAATTATTAGCCCAGGAGACTGTTCTCCAAACCGAGATTCGTCCTTTCTGGAAAATTTACTGTTTCACTTAGCAGGTTAATTTTTTTTCAATATGGGATGTTCACTGTTCAAGTTTGGAGGTGTTCCACTTACAGAGGTTCAATTAACATTAAGTCAATGGGTTTTTAAACGGGAATTTGAAAATGTGTTTCACTTGCAAGGTGTTCCACTTAGCAAGGTCTACTGTATTATATTATTAGAAATTGTATTTTAATAATAATAGTACTTCATTGTTCCTATAGCAACACATGAAACTATGGACCTTCATATATTTAAGCTGCTGTAAAGGTTGCCTGAGAATAGATGATGCTAATAGAATACTATATCATTAGTACATGTATTGTGATTATTTCCTATATGTTTGTATTTTTTCATGTGTTGCTATAACAATATACAACATATTCACAATATTTACACCCAGGGTCCAAGAAACCTCAATATCTCCATTTGGTTTTTATGCATTTATTAACACAATTACAAAAAATTAAAGTACAATGCATGTGTACTTTGGTGAAGAGGATGCCCGATCCATGATATAAGCCTCTCTTACTTAGTAAGGTCATATGTATAGTTGTCTCAGACTTTTAAGTGTCATGTACCATGGTAAAGCTCATCCAAAGTTACATTGAAATTGAGAATTTCATTGACAAGGAATTAATGTAGGCTAATGTTATTGTATAATATTATTGTGTTTCAGAATACATATGGGGTATAACTGACCTGTTCAATTTTGAATATTTTCTCTTCGAAAACATCATGATGGGGGGGAAACCTTACTGTAAAATTTACAATTGTTGGTCTAAAATGCTACAACATAACTCTTATATTCATTTTTAATGGTTTTTCTTAGAATAAATTATTTGCATGTCTGTGTTGCAGGAATGCAGGAATAACAAAAAATACTCAAAGTATTATCATCATAAATTCATAAGTGCAAAAGAAAAGTACAGTACATTTAAAATGACACAACATCCTCATACACAAGACACTATTATGTTAACCTTATGTTTACCATAACTTCAAATTTTTAGAGCTTTCAAATATTTACTTGGCTTTTGACAAAACCCATTCTTTTGATTGCCTTGAACTTTTTCAAGCCTAATGCCGTGGTCACATATGTTCCGATCCATCGGCCGGCGACTGGCCGATTGAGTGTTTTGTTCAATATTGCATTCAATTTTGAACAAAATACTCAATCGGCCAGGCGCCCTATTGAAAATCGGAGCAAATGTGACCAAGGCATTAGTTCCATACTTATAAATTGTCTAATGTAACTTTGGATATTCTTTATAATGGTGCATCATGCCTACATATATGCAACACAATGGTTACACAAGGATTTGCATGTTTGATAACTAGGTTATAAAAATATTACATATATAGCTTTGGCAGGCTGCATGAGGATATGATGGCATTTATGATGATTATTTATGTTGATTATTAATGATGATATTAATGATGGTTAAATTAAGTGATGATGGCTTTTTAGGATAATGCACTTTGTGGTGGATGAAGATGAAATAAAAATGTAGAGAATGTATGAATGAATGTTTTAATATTTCCTTAAATATGCTGAACTATTGTCGCCATGGGATGATTTTTTTTAGAATTATCAACATCATCAAAGGTTCTATGGATGGGTTGCTTATGTTTTGGACACTCTATATTGTCATTCTAAATTGAAAACAGAAACTTATTTGTTTTGTTTGTGAGATGGTCATGGTAATAAATATGTGTTTGTGAGTTAATATTATTATTTTTTACTTTTTCAAGGCATCACATGTTAATTAATATATACAATAACATAACATTATTGAAAATTGTTTCGTTTTTAAGTTACCAACCAAAAAAATTCTCAAAGGCTCCGACCTGTTCTTTAACTGGTGTTGGCAACATTTAGAATTTGTAGTCATTTGGAATAAGTTCTAAGCTAATATAAAATTTGTTGAGGCCTGGCAACTTTTTTTGCAATGCTACTCTTAAGGACTGTTATATCACAGAGTTAAAACCGTTCATATAGAGTTGATGTGAATAAAGTAGTTGTTCAGGCATATTTGATATCATGGGAATAAGGATGGTATCAATTTTTTCCATTCAGGGAATGCAGTGATTCAACAGGCGAATAACAACCTTATACCTAAATGCAGAGAAGGTCTGAATATCAGATAAATCTTTGTGACTCTTTGTGCTTTGGGAAAATGGAATTATAATTAGTTTCATCAGAATTTACTATATCAACATATGATAAATGCATATAGATTCACTGATTAATCCCCACTCAACAACTGCTTCCACTATAATTTTCACACATTTATGATATCATCTCTTTGGTATTTATTGTGATTGCTCTTGTTGTCGTGCATGCTTACAGTAGTTACTTTTTTCTTCTTTTTTCATTGTTAGTTGAAATAACATTTTCTATTTGTTTCACTTGCTTTAGGGCAATGTTTTATTGCTTTGTTTTATTTCCACATAAAGAAGTTTTTTTCAAGTTTTGATTGAAATGCATGTTAAGAACTATTGAGTTAAATTATCATTTGAGGAAATCATACATGCATCCAGATGTTATAGTTGTACAATAAAGAAGAGCATAATTGTGTTAATACAATGTTACATATGCATTGTATATATATGAGAGAAAAAATAATTCCAAAGATACCGATCAATGACCCTAAAATTAAAATGAGGTATGCTTCCCAAGTGCCCCAATGAAGAGAATATGTTTTTTGGCATTCTTGCTCTATTTCACGCCTTCATCACATGTTTGACCAGGGCACATGGGAAATCACCTTCCTTTTAAAGAAGATTGTAAAACTATAACATGAAATAAATGTGTGATTCCATGCACTTCACATGTTTTTACACTGTCCTACATTTCACTAATCTGTTTGAGTTGTAGACTGAGTTGTGTAAGTTAACCTGCATTTGTCATCCCTTCCTTACAGAGAAGCCGTATACGCGCCAACAGTCAGCTCCTCAATTTACAATAGGAGGCAGCACTGTTTGGCGGCGTCCAAGTGCAGCACGTTGCGGCACTAGCATGTTCAGTAACTACATTTTTCCAGGTGAGTTTGGCAACTTGCACCCTAATACATCTTATAATTTCATAGTGACTTGGCTCCTGATGGTACAGAGTATGAAGTTCATAGTATGAACTTCGGTCTTTTCATTCAGTTGATTTCTGAATTGTTTCACAAGAATATTCTTGAACTGACATATATAGCCTTGCAAATAAATGCTGAGCTTGGTTCAGACAAAAAGTGTTCAGTAGTTCATGTGTATTCTAGACATGAATGCTTGAATACTGTTCAGAAATATTGTAAAGATTAATGCTATGAAATTATATTCTGTAGATGTAAAGCCTCTCTTGCACCTCAACACTGTAATGTTTTCCATGTAAGACCCCTTTACATTCTCTTGCACTTGAAGACTCCTGTAGAATTGCCAAACAAAAAAATTATTATAATCCCTTGCATGGGAAACATGAAAATGGCATGAGGTGCAAGCCTGATTTTGTTATTATTATTAAATGATAATTATGCCAAATAGTACAAAGATTCAGTAACGACAGTGTAGTTCCAAGTATTTCAGCAATATATTTACCTAATCTTTGTACATGCGGCATATGCAATTATCTTGGTTGGTTTTTGTATAAGTCTTTGCCTTTACAACTTTTTTAATGTTAAATCATTGATGCATCAATTTTATGTTTTGTTTTTTGTAATTTTGATACTTTTCATACATACTTCAATGAATTATGCTGAGCAAAAAGCCCCCGTGTTGATGTCAGATTATTTACCTGGGACGGCCTTACATTGAATTATCACATTAATTAGAGATACTATTTTTAATTATCCATTATACCTTTACTTAATGGAATAAATGGGAAGTGTGTGTTGAAGAAAGTTGGAACTTGGTATTTATTTTCAGGTTGGAGCACATACAAGTACAAGTACATGATCGTATTTGCTCTTTATTTTTCACTAATGTTTGTAAATATTTACATTGTGATACAATGTTCGAAATAAAGCCTTAAATGTATGTGTCTACTATTTTTTATCGTTTATCCTTATTTCATAGTTATACTGTAGATCCTTTAATGATTTGTTAATTGACCATTTAATCAAAATGTTTTCATAAGATTTTATTTATAAAAGTTAGCTTAAGTTAAGGTCTCCACACATGTACAATTTCCTTCAGGTGGGCATCTGCGGGAGTTTACAGATGAGGAGAGCAACTTTGCAGCATTACTGCAGCGAGCAATGGATTTGGAAGGTGTTGATCGTGAGACTGTCCACCATCTTGTTACTCTTCTACTTAAGGTAGGTCTTATTTCCAAAAATCAGCATAAAATTCCTTTAATAATCATCGCTGTCAAGTTCACTTACACCGTCACCGTTCACTGTCCTATGATGATGAATCTGAAAACCCTGCACCATCACTGTCCTCTTTGCTATCGCTCGGGATTGTAACCCAGCAATCACGTAATCCCCTATACACCCCCAAAATGCAATCTGATTTTCGACGCAGTTTCGGTGCCAAATTTCGGTGCCGTTTCGGCACCAAATGGACTGACTAGTCCGGTAGCAAATTTTGGTGTCGAAAGGTTTCGGTGCCGAAACGGTGTTGAAACGGTGCCGGAACGGTGCCGAATTTGTTCGATGCTGAAACGGTGTCGAATTATATTGGCTGTGTATATCAGTCAAAATTTCGATTTAATTTTTATTTTTCTGAAATTTTTACTACGCATACGCAAACTGCAATGAACAAAAAACAAAATCTGAAAGTATAGGGGGATGATGGCATATTTGTTTTCACATTCGATTTTAATATGATCTATGTGCCACAGTTATAAAAATGTTTGTGAATAATTTAAAAATCAAAAAATCATTTTGGTGCTTTAGTGAATTAAACAATTGAACTTGCCCTTCCCTGTATTGCATAACAACATGAAGTTCTACATGTATGTTGTAGTTCATGGTGAACGTTGAAGTTGAGGACCAAAATGAAGAACAAAAAGTTGAACAGAAGGATTCACAGGTACGCTTCATTTAAATATCTCATGTTACAGTATTTTATGACATGTTCAACAAGTCTTGCTAATTATGCTGTAACTTTTGTCCTCTTGCTATTCTTCATGACTTTTTTATGACTCTACCAAAGGGAGCAAATATCTGACCTTATCTTGCTATATTACCCTCAGACAACCACCTTTTCGTTACCATCATCACAATTAGCATCACAATCACAATTACTGTAAGAATTACTTCATCAAGAAGTGTCCTCAAATAGCAATATTGACGTACAGGTTCCACCAGGTTACTGTCCACGCTCACAGCTAGATTCTTTATTGCCAAGGCATTAGGGTTACCTACTTTGATGTGACAGTTTCTCTTATAAGTGGATTTTTCTATCTTACAAAATTCAAGTAGAATCTGTCCATTTGTATTTTGCTGCTATGGGTGTTTCTGCACCATATCCAAGAACTTATCAGTTATCTGTGACTAACTTCAACACTCAAATTGCTGTCCAAAAGTGACACCAGATCTTGACCCTGCAGTCTGTGACAGTGGTTACCATAGTTACCATAACTACATTATTATGCTATTTGTTGATTGTCAGGAAATGTTATTTTGGAAAAACTTTTTGAAGAATAGAAAGAAATTGGACATAAGTTGTTAAATGAGCAATACAAAAGAGCTGGTTAAGTTCCATCCATTTTGCATTGTGTCTTATCTTGTACAAACTACAAAGAATGGGCAGAGTTTGTTTTAGAAATATTTAGACTTCAATTTCAATTCAATTTCAATTTATTAATAAATATATATGCATACAACAATACAAAGATGATGAAGGGAGCGAGATATCACTGAAAGGTGTATGGTGCCCCCTATAACAATAAAAGATCCATATGAATTAGCAATTGAAGATGACATGGTTTGTAATCTGTAGCACATTGGATTTGGTTTTGTTTATTAGTTTATGAAAAAGAAAAGTCAATAGGATGAGTTGATGTTAAGTGAATGTTTTCTTTTACAGAGTATAGTGCTGAGACACCTCAATGTTCTACTTGGCTACAATCAAACAGAGAAGGCATTTAGTGTTCCCCCATACAAACTAAGGTAATTATTTGAATATGTAATGGAGTGCCCCCCTCCCTCTCATTTAAAAACTGAGGTAACTATTTAAATATGCAAATGACAATGTTATGAAGCATTGGACATATGGAAAAGGGTGCCCTACGTAGCCATAGAGGAAAATGTGGTGCACTGTATATTCACAAATTGCAATTTAGCCTTTTCTTACTTTCAACATTTACCTCCAATTGTTAAAGATACATGTAATTATAGAAAGCATTGAAAATGTAATGATTGATAAAGGACCACACAGATCGTTGGTAAAAGAGGAATTGCTTCGTGATAGTGTATATTGCATAGATGTTTCGTAATTATTGTGTAAATCATGAAACATTAATATGATTACCCTGCGTGCAGAGTCTAGTTAATAAACTACACTCTGCCTAGCAGAGACCATATTACAGTTTAGTAGCCCCGCCCCCACGACGGGTACCGGTGACAGTTTGGGTAAATCACTTTTGACCTACGCGCTGACTTTCCACCAATCAGCGAACTTGAAGAAACATGCGCCAAATGTGTTCTAATTAAATATGCGCATGTCATTGGTCAATTCCGGGCTCAACGATGACGTCAGAAGGAATGACCATATAAAGAACGTCGGTCAAATTTGGCCGACGAACACTGATTGGCGCGGTGAGTTCACAGGTTTATTTTAGTTTGAAAGAGTGAAGACGAAGCTCTCTTTTAAGAAGTGAAGTCAAACGAATGCAAAGGGTATAATATGATATATTCAGCATAATGACTCATACGACTTGTTTGTAAATTTGTATATTATAACCACCCCCCTCAAGACATGATGAGTTATTACACAAAACAAGTAAAACAGATTTTCTGTATCTCTGTATCTCACATTTCTTTTTCAGCAGGTGTGATGATGTGATACAATGTTGTTTAGCATATACAGGTGTTCAATTCTTTTTTTTTCAAAACCATCTACAAGTCTTAGAAGTTCAAATCTGACTTTAGATATAAGATTTGACCTTCAATGACCTTCTCGAGGTTAAAAAAGTAAAAAGGTATTTTTCAACTTGCTTTAAATTGACAAAGTTCTCCAGTCTGACTTAAGATTTGAACTCATAATAGTGTGAGCAACTAGGTGGTGACATTTTGTCATGTTAATGCCTTGTTTGAATATGCACTTGGAATGGCTCCATACAAACTGAGGTAATTATTTGAATATGCAATTCAGTGTCCCATACAAAATGAAAGAAATGCAACAATCAGTTGTTCATAGTTAGGATATTTTGCGGGACATTGATGATCGTGTCTTAAAATGACTAGCTGTCATAATTTACACACACATATTGTATTCTATTATTTGTAGGTCATCAGCAGTGTTTAATGCCTACCTTTCTGGAGTGTGTAAGGTTCTAGACATGAACTTTCCCTTGGGTAACATCCTACTTCCTGTTTCTATGAACCTCTTACAGTACTGCCCCTCTCCCCAACGTTACGCGAGTGATTTCCAGCCCCCCAACTATACACTCTGGTATCTTGAGCCCCACACCAGGAAATCATGGCTGAAGACACTACTTGTTATACTTTATAAGGTCAGTTCATGTACAGAAGAAGTCAAAACACGTTAGTGCAGATGTGTGACTGTTAAATTTGAATTTAGAGAAATGGAAAATGTGATGTGTTGCGTTGTTGGTTCTATCTAATGTTGTCTAAAATTAGAAATGTCTTTTATCAAAATAATACTTTGATCTAGGAATTCTTTTCATCATTTAAAAAATGTATTAAAATATTTGTCTCAGAATTGAAATGTGATTAATTGGCTTCTGGCTAGAATGAACATTATTACATTATATATTGAGATTAAATCCATATAAAAGAAGCTATATGCATGGACATTGAAATTACTCTTCATTCCAAATAACTTGTTTTTCTTGACTGCATTTTATAAAACATGAGTCACTCTTATTTTGTTTTTCCAGTACCAATATGGTGGGACCAGTCGTTTTGGCAGTTCTATTCAGACACTAGTACGGATTGCATTGAACACTATTGATGCGCAGCATCATCGCTGTCGGCAACATGATGACGGATATGGACCTTCGAGTCCCATAATCCCACGAAACAGAGGTCAGTGTATAACTGTGTTTTGTAAATTAATCTTTGCACAATATCTTCACATTATTACATGTTGAAAGTTGCACTAGTTTTCCGTGAAGAAGACAATGTGATACATGCACTTTGTTCATTAAAACAATACACAAGGCAAAATAAACAATAACTTTTAATAAATCTGAGGTTCATGTGTTGGTTGGTTTATGTGATCCATGTGAGCCAACAATTAAGTAGCAACAACAACAATATCCCTTGTCTCCATTCAACTAGTCTTTCCTATATCCTTACCTAGGAATGGCCACTGCTCCCTCTCTTTCATTCTATTCCATCTTCATTTGACTCATTCATTTCTCAAGGTGGTTTAGATGGTGGATTTTCATGTTAAATGATGCTTTCATTTATGTATTTCTGACACATTTGAGCATTTCTCTGACCAAACCATGTACATGTATGTCCAAATATTTCATATATGTATTCATAAACTTGAATTTTTTTGCCACTACCATATTTTTTATTCATGCATACATGTTTACTTCAAACCTGTCAGTTATGAATGTGTCAGACAGGCTTTACGATGTTATGAAGCATTAAACATTTAGTAAAAACACTAAATAATAAGAGATTTTTCCAAAACCCATGTGAAACTATCTACATGATGATTTCTAAAATTACACCCCTACTAAATTAAATATACAATATCTCTTTGAATTTAAAAAGTGGCTTTGGTGCAAAACAAGATTCCCCATGTAGACACCTCACATGGACTACCACCTGACTCTTAGAAAAATCCTCACCTTAAAATAGATGGACTTAATATTAATAATTCAGCACATTAGCATTAACTTGTTTATACAATTGCACTCTACTACCACTCCAATTACATGTAAGTCTGGATAAGTCATTCAAAACAAGTCAAACAAGTTTTCAGATCAGTATCTCACATTTAGCAGGTGTTCAGTATTCACAGGTGTTTATGATACAATGTTGTTCAACAAGCACCGGGCGAGTTATTGAGGACACACCATTGGTCCGAATTCTAATGGTCCGAATCCAATTGGTCCAAATCCCATTCATCGCGAATCCCAATCGTTCGAATCCAACTTGTTTCGAATCCCAATGGTCCGAATCCCAATTGTCCAAATCCCATTCATCCGAATCCAAATTCTCTGAATCCCAATCGTCAGAATCCCATTGGTCCGAATTCCATTCGTCAAAACAATGTTCAGAAAATTAATGTGGCAGTAAATTATATAAAGTGTAAAACGCTGACTTCAATATTACCAATAAACTCTGATGGTTTGGGGCGACCCCTACTCGTCTAGTGTTTAAAATAATGATGTTCATCTTACACATGTCAGATTACACCGGTGTTCATAAATTTATTAAGTTTAATAAAAATTGAGAAATGTTAACAGTGCAGAACATTTCATTACTACTATATACCTTGACTAAATGTAAAGCAAAGCTTGGTATTTCTATCAGATGATCCTCTTGAGGATGTCCCTATGGCTCGAGGTAAGTGCTGCATGGCAAGCTAGATAAGGCATGCTTGTCAAACAGTCTAACACAGAACTATTCCATATGTATTATGTAACCCCTCGAAAAGAATTCATGGTGGTTATTGATTTTATTTACATCTATTTGTCACTCATTTTCTGTTTCATGGTTCTACACAAATTCTACACATAATTGCTATTGTGGGTGGATGCGTGAATGGATGGCTGGTACACATGTGAAAATCATTTTTATCACATTCTACACATAATTGCTATTGTGAGTGGGTTGGTGGATGTGTAGATTGATTGCTTGTATGAGTAGGTGGCTAGAAAATGTGTGAAAATCATTTTTATCATTTTTTACAATAATTGCTTTTGTGAGTGGGTGGAGTGTGTGTGGATGGATGGATGGATGGCTGGTAAAAGTGTGAAAATCATTTTTAGAATCACATTTTTTATGTCAACTTAAATGCCAGATTTTTGAAACCCTAAAGCTGCTTTGAATTCTTCTTTTGAAGTGTAGGCATCGTTTTCAAAAGAAAGAATTTTAAATTGCCATTCAATGTGGATTAGAACTATAATCATCTGTTCATTTTGCATTTAATTCATCCTAATATAAAAAGTATTTGTACCTGTGTTGAAGAGACAGGAGTGTTCCTGAGTGGTGATAATGATGAACTATTGTATATAAATTATTGTAACCACCATGTAATTCTTTACAAGGGCCAGTTGGAACAATTCATGAATTGATTTGAGCATGGACCAGGAGCACAGATGTTCACCTTTAACTTAGAACTTTAACTTTTCTTCATTGCATCACAGGCCATGTGCAGTATAATGGTAATCTAGTGACATGATATGTGGATTAAGGAGGCTTCAGGTGGTACCGAGGGATATAAGTTTTTGTGTGAATCACACAGAATTTGTCTTTGCTTTTGTAAACATGATGCATGCCTTGATTCTGGTCAGTGTGTCCTCAAGTTTGTCTTGTGTGGACTCTGCCTGAACTATGTAAGTTCCTGGTCCATGCCTCACCAGCTCAAATTACCATTAATATCAAGGCAGAAAGGGGAATAATGCCATGTGCTCTTTCTATGATTTGTGACATTCGGGTCATTTGCAAGGCAGATAGGAAGGTACTCTATGCATTGTGAGATTTTGTTGGCTTTAATTTTCGAATAATGCTTCAAAGTCAACTATCACATACTCTGCTATGTAGGGGGCCTGTAGGATCACTCCTGTATCAATAGATAATCATCTGCTTGTATATAGGCTTCACTACTACATCAACCCTCTGTCAAGTTAAAAGGTCTACATGTATGTGCAATATGGCACAATATTTATTGCAATTCAGTGTATCAGAAAAAATGTTAGCTGTTACTGCTAAACTGGTCAGACAAAGTCAACTTTAGTTGTCATAGTCGTTGTTGTCGAAATTGGTGCAATCACTAAGTATAGAGTGAATACTAAAAGACACAATAATTCACTATTTTCTGAAACTATTCATTTTGAGCATATGTGGGACATAACATTTGAGGGGAAAATAGAAAAAATCAAATTATTTCTCAGCAGATGTTTGCCAATTTTGATACGACAGGTCTCCCTATATTATGTAGAGAAGGAACGTGTAGGTGTTTAGTTCTTATTAACATGTACTAACAATTATATAATAATATGTTTTCAAGATATACTGTGTTAAATATGAAATTTTTTTTTGCCTAATTTATATACATTTTTTATCACACCATCGGTGGGATATAGTCGTCATAGTCATCGCAATTTCAGGAAAACCGTTCATCAGATTTTTTCCAAATTTGCACTCCTGATAGAGGATATCAAGTTCCAGAGCTGATTAGCTTTTGGGTGGCCATCTTGTTTTCTGGTGGCCATTTTGAAGGTTTTTAGAAAAATCTTGTCATCACCATTTCAGGAAAACCGCTCATCATATTTTTTCCAAATTTGCACACATGATAGAGGATATCAAGTTCCAGAGCTGATTAACTTTTGAGTGGCCATCCTATTTTCTGTTTTTTATCACACCATCGTTGGGATATAGTCGTCATACTGGTCGTGGTCGTGGTCGTGATCGTGGTCGTGATCGTGATCGTGGTCGTGATCGTCCTGCTTTTTGTCATCGCCGTTTAAGGAAAACTGCTCATCAGATTTTCTCCAAATTTGCAGAGATGATAGAGCATATGAAGTACTAGAGCTGATTAACTTTTGGGTGGCCATCTTGTTTTCTGGCGGCCATTTTGAAGGTTTTTCGAAAAATCTTGTCATCGCCATTTCAGGAAAACCACTCATTGGATTTCCTTCAAATTTACACAAATGATAGAGGATATCAAGTACTAGAGCTGATTAACTTTTGGGTGGCCATCTTGTTTTCTGGTTGCCATTTTGAAGGTTTTTCGAAAAATCTTGTCATCGCCATTTCAGGAAAACCGCTCATCGGATTTCCTTCAAATTTACACAAATGATAGAGGATATCAAGTACTAAAGCTGATTAACTTTTGGGTGGCCATCTTGCCATTTTGAAGGTTTTTTGAAAAATCTTGTCATCGCCGTTTCAGGAAAACCACTCATCGGATTTCCTTCAAATTTACACACATGGTAGAGGATATCAAGTACTAGAGCTGATTAACTTTGTGGCAGCCATCTTGTTTTCTGGTGGCCATTTGAAGTTTTTTCGAAAAAATCTTGTCATCGCCAATTTAGGAAAACCGCTCATCGGATTTCCTTCAAATTCGCACAGATGATAGAGGATATCAAGTACTAGAGCTGATTAACTTTTGGGCGTCCATCTTGTTTTCTGGTGGCCATTTTTAAGGTTTTTCGAAAAATCTTGTCATTGCCATTTCAGGAAAACTGCTCATCGGATTTCCTGTACATGATATGCCTATTTTTAAGGTTTTTCGGAAATTCTTGTCATCGCCATTTCAGGAAAACCGCTTGTTGGATTGTCTCCAAATTCACACACATGATAGAGGATATCAAGTTCTAGAGCTGATCGATTAAGTTTTGGTGGGCTATCTTGTTTTCTGGTGGCCATTTTGAAGGTTTTCCGATAAATCATGTCATTGCCATTTCAGGAAAACTGCTTGTCTGATTGTCTCCAAATTGCACACATGATAGAGGATATCAAGTTCTAGTGCTGATTAACTTCTGGGGAGCCATTTTTATCTGGCGGCCATTTTTAAAGTTTTTGATGGTGTGATCTCGTTCATGTCATGTGCCTTGTTTTATTTATTTATTTGCAATAGATAATGCTATAGAGCTAAATGCAATGAATTGATCATGTTTTATTCATATACTAACAGAATGATTGATAAGAAGTTTCTTTAGATCAAATGCTTATTTATCAAATGCTTATTAGACATTAACTTCTTTGTGGAAATCACATTAAATAAAGATTTTCTAGGCTTTTAGTTTGGCTGGCGGCTTAATTCATTTGGGTTTAATTGATTCGATTTTAATTTTATTGAAAATATGTATTTATAATATATACAGATGCTAATGACCTTGTGTAAAACCATCAAAAAATACTGTTTATTCATATTTCTAGAAATTATATTATTGTTTTCTCATGATTTTATGACATGACTAATTGTTATTAAGATGCTAATTGGGCCAATTACTCTCTCATTACCACACACTAATTACTACGCACAGTTTAAAAACAATCTAAATGTTGAGCAATGACCTCTAAATTTGCTTTTAAAATAGGTGTTTTCTATACCGGTATATATAAAGGCCTCAATTCCATGATTTAGAGCAAGTATATGACCATAGATTTTATTCTGCCAGATTCAAAGATTTCAATTGTTCTGTCATTTCAGTCTTTTAACAATGAACAGAAAAATCAGAGGTCATTCATCCTTTATAGTATAATTGAAATTATCCAGGGTTCTTCCATTAAGTGATGACGTGCTTTCTGCCTATTTAATTGTACAAGATTCATTCAAATTGATGACAATGCCTATTCATTGTAAATATTGTGGTTAATTGGTGGCGATAAAATGTGGAGGATTTTAAGATATTATAATTAACAGTTCATAATTTCATGGTAACTGAAAAATATTTTTTCAAATTAAACAGTACTGTTTAAATGCCTAATTGTCTTGCCTGTTTAAGGTTCTTGCTATGGAGGTAGTAATTAAAGTGTGATTCTGGCATTCAGCTTTCACTTATATTTCAGATGCTAGTAATATTTCGGCTGGAGATTTGGAAAATATTCTTGAAACAGAGACACCTCCCCAGAGCCCCCTCAATTCTCCTGTGGATGAACCCAATGTAACCATCAGCATCAGCCCTTCATCTAAAGGTAACTCAAGTGTTCCATTCTAATTATGAGGAACCAAATGTAACAATCGGCATCAGCCCTTCATCTAAATGTAACTCAAGTGTCCTCATTCTAATTATGAGGAACCAAATGTAACCATCAGCATAAGCCCTTCGTCTAAAGGTAACTCAAGTGTCCTCATTCTAATCAAGGGGAACCCATTGTAACAATCAGCATCAGCCCTTCATCTAAAGGTAACTCAAATGTCCTCATTCTAATTATGGGGAACCCAATGTAACAATCAGCATCAGCCCTTCATCTAAAGGTAACTCAAGTGTCCTCATTCTAATTATGGGGAACCCAATGTAACAATCAGCATCAGCCCTTCATCTAAAGGTAACTCAAATGTCCTCATTCTAATTATGGGGAACCCAATGTAACAATCAGCATCAGCCCTTCATCTAAAGGTAACTCAAGTGTCCTCATTCTAATTATGGGGAACCCAATGTAACAATCAGCATCAGCCCTTCGTCTAAAGGCAACTCAAGTGTCCTCATTCTAATTACTGTAGAAGAAGAAATTATAGCGGGAACAAATTATAACGAAATGCTGCCAAAATCAAAAAACGCGAGAAGAAATTATAACGGTTCAAGAGCCCAATAATTTCATGTCAAACTAGGTCTAGAAAGCCCATTGTTCTAGCCGAGGTTTTTATGCTTGATTCCCGAAATTGTTGGTCTTACCGCTGTGTGAGTGATAATAGAGTTACTAATTCACTTGAACTTACTGTGTTTAAATGAAAGCTCCTCATGGTTCATATACTTTCGAATACTCATTGTAATACTAATTATGCTTCCTTGATTGTTTGATTACTCATACAGTCATCATATTTGGTTTCCCTGGTACGTAATCAGTATTGATTCAAAAGAAAACCCGACCTATTTTGCCATGACGTTTTTAATTTACGAACGAATAAAATTAGCAACAACAAGTTCGCCTTTTGTTTTTCAATAAATGTATACAGACATACACTCAGTAATTACCCATTAATTATTGGCTTACTTATTGTACTTTCCAGGTAAGTTTTAATTCTAATTAACGGATTATAACAATCAAGTAAACCAGTGACACAAGACTTTCTTTATAATCGCCTAATATAATGTTTAATGCCAGCGGGAAAACAAACAGCTTATCCCTGTATCTAAATATTTTCTTCAGGAATGGTGCTCTGATAAGATGCTAAACTGTGTTTATATTGTTTCTGTTTTGTTTAGTTTGAAACAATGTTTGTAGTTTTACATTATGTGTTTTTGTGTTCGTTCTTTTTCTAGTAGCAAAGGTAATTAAAATACCGTTCGTAAATCTAATGTAGCAATAAAACTTCGACTTAACATTCTGGTGTTTCATGATTTCGGTAAGTTTTAATTTTTTTGAATAAACTTTCGCGGAATTAATTATAACGGTCGAAGCCTGGCGCTATTTTTCGCTATAATATTTTCCTCGTTATATTTTCTTCTTCTACAGTATGAGGAACCCAATGTAACAATCGGCATCAGCCCTTCACCTAAAGGTAACTCAAGTGTCCTCATTTTAATTATGAGGAACCCAATGTAACAATCAGCATCAGCCCTTCGCCTAAAGGTAACTCAAGTGTCCTCAGTCTAATTATGAGGAACTCAATGTAATCAGTAGCATCAGCCCTTCATCTAAAGGTAAATCATGTGTCCTCATTCTAATTATGGGGAACCCAATGTAACAATCAGCATCAGCCCTTCATCTAAAAGTATCTCAAGTGTCCTCGTTCTAATTTGGTACATTTACAGGAGTGCCAAGATGAAAGCACCAAAAACATAAAAACACAGGTAGAAAATAGAGCATTGAAAAGGCATCATGATAAACCATGACATTTCATTTCTTCTCAGCCCTGAGATGTTTCAGGTGAAACAGAAAGATGCTATGAGTATCAGAATGTTGAAAAGGACAGATGATGAGTAGGCATCCTCCGATCACAGGGCTTCAAAATCCAGAATATATTCTTTCTTTTTACCCCCTGCGATAAGCAGTTAGCATTTCCCCGATTAAGAACTCACAATCTGATTGACTGTCGCAATACTGCTGCAGAAATCATGTATAAGTCATTGCGCATAATTAGATCACGTGATTCAGTTTAATCGGGCGCTTCCAAATTGGTTATAGCAGGGGGAAGAAGGAGGTACAGATTCTTGATACCTGCTCAGGAGGAGGATAAGTAGGAAACAAATCCAAAATTCCAAGAAATGGTCAAAACCCCATTTTTCATAGTTGAGTCATTGCTCCAGAATTCTAGAGTGTTTAAATTGTTTCTTTTATGTGCATTTGATGTGTGCTATATCATTTATTTTAGAGGTGATATTAAATGAAAATTGTTCAGTTATTATCTTAAATATGATATTGTCTTTGACATTTATTCCTATTATAAAAAACGCATGATTTATATTGGAACTACTTTAGCCCATAATGATGTGGGAGCTATCTTCTTGTTTGTTGGGATTTGCTACTTCATAGTGTTGCAATTAGTTCATAATGAAATCGGATATTTTAGGCACGGTACTGTACCAGAAGCTGACATCAGATGGCACACCAGTGACATCAAATACTGCTACATTGACAACATCAGTGACAGATGACACTGACACAACATCATCATCTGCAGGCCATGAGCGTGGTGTGTCCCCCAAGAGACGTGTCACACGTCCCCCGAGACGACTCCCAGATTACAGCTTTGATGGTTCTGATCATGATAATAGGTAAAACTTAAAGGGCCCCATGCTAAGTTTGAATTTGAAGTACGGTTTCTTATGGTAGAAAAATATTTTGGAGATTTTTTTAAAAAATGTTAGTCTCAGAAACTGAGGGAGATTAATCTTTCAAATCCTTCTTCCTACAGGCTTGTGAGTAGTGGTGTCTCACACTCACACACCAATGGCATTCACAATCCTGCATCACCGAGCTCTCCAGTAAAGGAGATGAGAAATTTACCCATAGTTCCACAGTGGCACAAGGAGGAAGCTGGTGGTTCTCCGCTGTTATCTCGTGGTACATCAACTCCAAAGCCAGTGACAACATCCACTGTTATGAAGTTTGATAACAAGGTAATCAAGACATTTTTATCGCTCTCTTGAAAAGTCCTGCATATAAAAAGAAACATTTCGTCAAGCTTGTAGCTTTAGTGAAGCTCACACTTCTTGAGTTCTGTTTCAAGATCGTATACATGACTCAGTCATAGCATAATCATGTGAACTTTGATTTTCTAAATGACTTATAATTTGGCACTCTAAATATCGGTAATTAATACAATCTTGATTTTTCCAATACTAATACTGCAGAAAAGTGTGACACTTCAATTAAACAGTAATGCACATTTCCTTGAATGTCTTTCATCTGAAACAAGTGTGACATAAGTTTGTCCTATTGAGTATAACAAGTGTAATATATCATGGTGTGACATAACAGTGTGGTAGTAGCATATAATGAGATCTAACATATAGTATTAATAATACTGCATAACAAAATAAGAGTGATGTAGCATAACATGACATGGTATAACATGACATATTATAAGGTGACATTATGTGACATATCCTATTCTAGTCAGCACAGGAGGAGAGTCAATTAGATGAGGTTTGTTTCTATGTTTGACAACTAACGTATTTCATTGTTTTTTCATGTTTGTTCCCATTGAGCAAAAAAGTATGGAACATAGAGGTGTGGACAATAAGTTCCAATAAATTAACAGCAATTGGGAGAGGTGTGGACAATAAGTTCCAATAAATTAACAGCAATTGGGACTATTTCTAACACATTGTTTTCCTGAAAGCATGTGGCAATTGGGACTATTTCTAACACATTGTTTTCCCAATAGCATATGGCATTTATCTTATTTTATAGGGGGAATTCAGTACTAACTTGGGAAATGTAACTTAACAATATGATCAGTTCTTGAGGAATTCAATATTCCTATTTGAAAGTCAAATTCTCACAAAGGAGTTTCAATCTCCACTCTCTCCCTTCCATCTTATTTGCTAACCCAACTAAGCCAGTGAATGTTCAACCATAATAGAAAGTGCATAACTATTAACCATTCCTCCTTTGTTTGGTATTTAGTTCATTGATGTTGTTTGTATGTATGTTATGATCTTGCATATGATCTTGCATATGCATTCTTTAAAATCTTGTAGAACATGACAAAATATTTCTTAAATTTCAAAATCTTGTAGAAAATATTGTACACATGTTTATGTGCATTTTTCTTTAAAATGGTGTACTGGTTTATTCCATAGTTCCTGTTCATAGGATATCAAGTTAAAATGTAGTAGAAAAATATATTTTTGACGTATTTTCACGAAACTATTGAATATGGCTTTTAAACCATGATACAGAGCCATATGTGATGGTTAACTGATTTTTCGCTACTTGACTGAAAATGATGCTGACAGTAATAAGGGCCAATCAGTCATTTGAATCATTTAATCACTATGGAATAAAAAGAATATCCTATAATTTACTCATGATATGATTCAACACTGGATATTGTTAAAGCCATTCATGGATAAAAATCATATTGGTCATAAATCATAGGATACACTTTATATATTCACTTTGTATGGTTTATTTAATGTTGAATTATTTGGTTTTTTATTTTACATACCCTATTACACCCTACTAAATTTGCACCATCAACAGATTCAAAAACAAAGACTCTCTTGAAATATCAGAGCTTGAAAAAATGGCTCACCTAGTCTAGCTACAAGCCTCTGTGTCCCCCACTCCCCTCCTATACTTGACAACACACCTGCTCACACTTGTTGTAGTGGGAGGGAGGGGGGGTCACAAGGGCTTGTAGCTAGACTATTGCTAACCAAGCGAAAAACAATGTAGGGGGACATATTGTTTTATTTCTAAAAGGCAATTAATTCACTATTTTTATGCTCTAATATGTGTAGAGTAAGTCTCTTGATGATGTGCTAATGATAGGTTATTCTGATTTAAAAAGATGTTGTTTACTATAGGATGAGAAATAGGAACTGAGCCCCTTAAACATATATCCACAAAGCAAGAATGAATTCAGATTTGTACATTTATTTGTGACATTTTTTATTATCCCAACGAACGAAGTTCGTTAGGGATATAGTGAAGCCCTCCGTCCGTCCGTCTGTCCCTAAGTCCGTCAGTCAGTCCGTCCGTCTGTCCAGAAGATAACTCAAATACTAGTTGACAGATTTTCTTCATATTTAGTGGAAAGATGTATATTGGTAAATAGTTTTACGCAAAAAAAAAATTTTTCAATATGGCCGCCGCTTTAAAAATGACGGGACTTTTTCGTAAAAATCATAAATTTTTCATTCTAAACCAAAGTAATTAATATTATTGTTTGAAATTTTGGTAGTGTATTCACAACATTTATCTATTTCACATATATTCCGTGTTTTCATCCTGACCCCCAGGGGCCATGTATGGGGGGACAGGAAAACAGAAATTTTCGCTAATTTTTAGATCTTTCTGAAGTATAGCTTTATTATACTCAAATGAAAGGCAATTAAGAGTAGATTGCAAATATTGTATCTTTTTTCTGATTCGAGCCTCGTAAAATTCAAAATGGCCGTCTAATGTACGATTTCGCAATAATTTTTTGATCCCTTCAAAGTATGGCTATATTATACTCAAATTGAAGGAATTTTGGAGTAGATCACAATTATGGTATTATTTTTCAGATTTTTACCTCAGAAAATTCAAAATGGCTGCTTTGCAGGAATTCGCAATTCTAAAATCTAATTTTTTCATTTTCAACCAAAGTAATGAGTATAATTGATTGGAATTCGGTAATTGATATTTTGTTCGTTGGGATTTGCTACTCCGCGGAGTTGCCGTTATCTAGTTTTTCCATTAAAATGATGCAATGTACTCATGTTTGAATGACAATGAATCATACATGAATTAATTGATGATTTCATAACTTATGATGAAAGTTGCATGTTTCGGTAAATATACTTTATTATTTTCATCACAACAACAGATCTCCTGTCACATTCTAATCAAATCTTGATATAACTCTATAAGCCTATATATACTTATTTCAGAGGACACTTGAAAAGAGCTTTGAGGAACACATTATGGCTATGGCTAAGGGAGAAGATGATCAAGCTCTCACTCCATCCCCACAAGCTCCGCTCACTCCCTCTACCCAGGGGGCTCCCACCCCTTCCATCCAAAGTGGAGCCACTACCCCATCTACTACCCCGAGTGCACAGGTTAGTTGCTACAGTCTTTACAGTGACATATTTTAATTATAGTCGTATGTAAAACTAATTTCATCATATGCATATACCTGTATCATGTTTTTATCCAAATTAGTTAGACCATGTAATGAAGAAATAAAATACATATTAGTTACAAAGCAATTGACTTCAGGTGGAGAAAAAGATGGTGGAACAGATCCAAGAGTTTGAATCTCAGGAGTCACGCAAATCATCTAGTACTGATAAGCCTCCACTAGATGGCACCATGAGTCTGCCGTCAACAATGTCAACTGGTGATACACTCCACCCAGGCAGCCAGACACTCAGTGAAAGTAAGCACTTGTTTCGCTACTATCATCACTATCATTAATCACAATTTTGGCCTCAATATAATGTCCATTGTACATTGCATCTTTTTCTGTACTATTACGTAGCAGAAGAATTACAATAGGCCTGTGAGACCCTGACAATACTCTACTTTATTATTAGTGTATTAGTAGAGTATTAGTGTTGAATAATTTTCTTAAAGAAGAAATATTTTTAGAAAATTTGTGTATTATATGTACAGTATCTGTCTCTTTCTATTTTAAGAACACATGTACATAGCATGGTATCCTTTCATGTAACTTCCCCAAACCATTCCTCCCTTCCATCTACCCAGTGCAGCCTAGCTTTACAATCATTACTGAAATATTTTTCAGTTTTAGTGATACTATTTTCAAAAGTAATTTGTATTTTCCAATGTATTCAATCAATCTGCTACTAGAAGTGACTAAAAGTTTCATATCATTACATGCTAATCTCAATGAACACAAATACAATAGTATTATGAAATTTCCTCCTTCTAAATTGTTGTCATGTCCTTGGTTTTATATTTGTATCAAGCTACCTAATAAGACTGTTAGTTGTACATTGATCTGTTAATTTACAGGTGACCGTGATGATTTATCTGACCAAGAGGGTGCACCCAAACCTCACCGCATCAATGTGCGACATCGGAAAGCAAGAAAAACTGGACTTACAAATGTTGAATTGCAGAAAATGATTCCAGAGTTGAATGATGGCGGTGAGAAATCTGACGACAAATCACAAAGGTTAGTGCCATCATAGTCGAATATTTGTATCTGATGTGTTAGTTAACACATTGGGATACCTGAATTATCAGGGGCTGGATATCATTAAATTTGATTGCTTTATGTGGTGATCTTTGGTAATATTAGGGTAAGCCTAGGCAGATGAAGGTGGGTGTTGGGGGTAGAGCCATAATACAAGAGAGTCACATAATGATCAAGAAATTATAGTTTGCATGGATTATATATAGTTAATATTAGAATATTGTTCATCAATGATTTATATTTGTAAAGATGAAAATTTGATTTTGTACTAATCTAATAAGTGTATAGGTGGCGTGTCTTTACAATTAACACCATATATAGTCATGTAGAATTAAGTGCGTCCAGGCTTACTCTGAGCCACTCACATTATTCATGCTTTTATAAAGGAACCAAATCATTTCAAATTTCATTTTTGAAAATTACATTTGAAGGAAATTGTTTCATGCTTTTCTTCGGTATTTTGAATTAATGTACAAGGGTTTGGTTCAGGGCTTCCTTTATATAAAAGGCTAATATGCAAAGATTGTAAAATGATGGTTCTTTTGTAAAAGTTTGAATTTGATGTTGTTCCTATCATATTGTAGACTACATGTTGTCATTGATGCGTCATGCATATTTGTTACAGACAACGACACTCATGGGGGCACGTTATTGGTGTCATAAGTGCACTGTCTAAATGGTAACCAGGAAATTGTGAAATTTCAAAGTAGAAACTGTCCAATAAATCAAACTTTGTTGGATGAAATGTTCATTAGTGGCATTTGAGATTGAGGAGTTATATTGGACAGTTTTTGATCTTAGATTTTGTTGTGTCCATGTGTGTCATCCAGAGGTGTTTGCTTCCACTGTGCTTTCATGACTAATATTGTCCAATGTGTTTCTAGTGTGATGCACCACAATTATCTTATGAATATACTCTTGGTCATCATTGTACTACTTCTGTGTGTCATCATTGTGTCATATCCCTGTGTCATCATTATATTGACACCGTGTCATCATTGAACCAACCACCTGTAGCATCATTGAACCATTCACATGTGCCATCATTGAACCATCACCCTGTGTCATCATTGAACCATCAACCCGTGTCTTCATTGAATAATCAACCTGTATCATCACTGACCCATCACCCTGTGTCATCATTTAACCATTTACTTGTGTCATAATTGAACCATCACCCTGTGTCATCATTGAACCATCAACCTGTATCATCATTGAACCATCAACCTGTATCATCATTGAACCATCCATCTGTGTCATCATGAACCATCCCCCTGTATCATCATTGTTGAACCATCACCCTGCTTCATCATTAACCATCACCTTGTGTCATCATTGTTGAACCATCACCATGTGTCATCATGAACCATCAACCTGTATCATCATTGAACCATCCATCTGTGACATCATGAACCATCCACCTGTATCATCATTGTTGAACCATCACCCTGCTTCATCATTAACCATCACCTTGTGTCATCATTGTTGAACCATCACCATGTGTCATCATGAACCATCAACCTGTATCATCATTGAACCATCCATCTGTGACATCATGAACCATCCACCTGTATCATCATTGTTGAACCATCACCCTGCTTCATCATTAACCATCACCTTGTGTCATCATTGTTGAACCATCACCATGTGTCATCATGAACCATCCTTCTGTATCATCATTGTTGAACCATCACCCTGTGTCATCATTGTTGAACCATCACCCTGTATCATCATTTTTGAACTATCAACCTGTCATCATTGAACTTTCACCCTGTATCATCATTGAACCACTTCCTGTGTCAACATTGTATTTTTATATCATCATTCTCTCTTCATTCTATCAACACATTGCCATATTTGTCTCAAATCATTCTGTCTTCCGTCATTCGATATACGAGAGGTTAAGTTACATGTTTAAATGCAAACTGTGAACCTGAACGCATAAGTTTACGCTCAAGTACGCATTTTTCAATTCAGTTACACATCTGATACCATGTCAGTAAATGTAGAGCTATATGTATGTGGCAAATCTGAATATGGTCCATGGCTCTATGGTTTAATGGTTAGCATTTAGGACTTGTGTCTGTTAGATCCAGGTTCAAATCCAGTCAGTTGAATACATTTTTGTTTTTTATTTTTGCTTTATTTCATATTCAACCACAATTACTTTAGTATCACTTTTTGCTCTTATCAACGAACGTTATACCCAGAAAATGCCTTGTTCGAATTTCAAAGGTAGTAAGTTCTGGTTGTCATTTCATTTTTGACTGCACTAAACCCCGGGTATTAAACTAGCCCTGCCTATTTATATTACACAAGATGAAACAAAACGATCACATTTAAAGTTGTCATTTACCAATTAAAATGTATTCTTATTTCCTAATAAGAGTATCTGTATCAAATATGGGCTACTGGGGCACCCTAGAACATAGCTAAAATCAATCACACAATGAGCCACGTGTAATAGCTTCTTTACATATCACGCAATGAGCCATGTGTAATAGCTCCTTGACATATAACCATGCTTACCTGTAGAAAGTAGACTAATTTGAGTCATTTTTCTGCACGTGCATTGTAGTTCACATTCATGATTTGTTGAATATACATCTGTTAATTGCACCAATGTGAATAGCAAATGCAAAAGGTTAGCAACATGTAGCATGGTATGTTTCCACCAGTAAGGATCATCATTGAAACATTACAGTTGCTTTACAGTACAACAGTATGAATATAGTCAATGTAATATAAATATAGGCTGCTACAACATAGCTAAAATCATTCAAGTAATAAGTGATATATATTTAATTTTCTAAACAAAAAACCTGTAATATACGGTACATGTAAAAAACTAATTTTCACGCTGACCCACAGACAATAAACAAATCTGACGTCATTTTTTCTGTACTCATTGAAGTTCACGTTCAAGTTTTGTTAAATGCGTGTAACTTAACCTCTCTATACTGCCTGGAATCATTCTGTTAACCATCATTTTATGAATAGCATATTCATATGTCATAACTACTATTGCTTCAATATTATCTGTCTCTTTACATGTTTAGCAGATATCAATGAGTGAACATATCTTAACTTCTATCTGCCAACTCCCTTAGTGTTTGTATGCTAAAATATAGTGTGTCACTATTGTCATAAAAGTCAGTTTCCCTATTCCCACCCCTTCATCCTCCAACCAAGATGGAGTAGTGCCTTTTATACAGTACAGTACATGTACAGTATGTTGAATGTGTGTCTTGAAATATTGTGGGCCACTCATCATATTGTGACACCAGTCATTGTATTTGTGATAAGCCATTATATTTGTAAAGTCATTGTATTTGTGACAACTCATTGCATTATATTTGTAAGACCTATTGTATTTGTGATAAGTCATCGTACAGTGCATCCAAAAAAACTGGCAAAAACATAGTAAAACCACAAAACCAGTGATGATAACATCAATTCCATTTAGTTTACGGTACCATGAAACCATGTTTCCAATGATGTTTGTCATTTGTTCATATGTGATCATGGACCACTGAATAATCATTGTTTTGAGTGAAAAGACCTTTGTACCAAGTTATGAAATATTCTCAATCAACTGATCCTTATTGTGCGTTCATGCAGTCAGTTAAATCATTATGTAATTGGGGCTGGAGATTGAATTCTGGTCATAAGACTTACATAACATCAGTTTTAGATTTAGATTTACAAAAAAACACGATTTAACTAAGTGTCCATTATTATCCTTGATGGTTAAGTCAATGTTACTTATTACAGATGGAAAAAGAAGTGGCATAATCAGTTAAATCACTTTATCATTGTCTGTCATCTTCTGAAAGATTACTCATGAAAGATTACATTCAACGCCCCTTCATATTGCCACCATTTCTCTACACACAGAGATTGGCTCTACTCTGCATGTCATGAATACCTCTTTGAATCATCTGTGGGTCATGGCGGAGAGCAGCAGCCTCATTGGTGATTCTCTGTTAACTGTTGCACGTCTAAAACTTGGCCCGGAGCAGATTTTGGCCTGTTGTGTAAAAGCAATGATTATTCAGTGGTCTGTGGTTATATATGAATAAATAACATACAATCTGAAAGAGGAGATAAGTGGCTTAATGGTTAGCCAAATCAAATTGGCATAATCATCACTTGTTTTGTGGTTTTACAATGTTTTTGCTTTTTGAGTTTTTTTGGGATGTGCTGTATTTGTAAAATGCCAATGTATTTGTGACAGCTCATTGTACAGCAAATGGAACAAACTATTGTTACATGTATTTGAATCAATGTTTATGTCTACAGTCAATAATGTCAATCATCATTAGTTATATATAATTAGAAGTTAGTGAGATTATACATCTAACATTTGAAGTAATTTAATCAAAGTATACACATACATACTTTCCTGGACTTTAGAGGTTGAAATTAAGGATTATAACATATAGTCATATTTATTACTTTTTGGGGTTTTAAATCATAGATTCAATGTTGGTGTGTTACTTTAAATGAAATTGAGACCCAGATATTTTAAGTTAGTTTAATGACAAAATGTGATTCGGGTGTCACAATACTCAAGGCTCAATCTTCTGGCATACCTTAATAAAGCTCTACACCTTGTTAATGTACTTTAAAGTAGTAAGGTAGATTAATTAATGTAGATTAGTCATAATTATTATCTTCTTAGGGAAACATATATATTTATTTTCTAGGCATTTTATCTAATCTGTATATTTTGCTCAGAGACATAAACTGGCTACACAGTTTACATATTATTGTTTTGACCATAATGATGTGTGGGGGGAGGTGGGAGTGCAAGGTAGGGGATATATTATTTATGACTTGTGGGGGAGGTGGGAGTGCAAGGTGGGGGATATATTATGTATACATTTCTATTTATTTGTCACGTTCATATTCATCATCATCCCTCTAGGATGTCATTCACCTTATCTGTATAAATGTTATGATGGTTTGAAACCAAA